GTGTGGACCGATGCGACATGCATCAAAGGGAGGAGCGCGGTTCCTCTTGGTGATGCTCGACGACGCGACGCGGATGTGTTGGACCCGACTCTTGAAGGCTAAGGGAGATGCGGCCAAGGCGATTCAAGAGTGGGCGCTCGATGTTTGCGACGACGACAAGAAGCGGATCAAGTGTATTCGCACCGACGGTGGGGGCGAATTCGTGAACGCGGAGCTTGAGAAATGGATGAAGAGCAAGGGCATAAAGCACGACGTCACGACACCCTACACACCCCAACAAAATGGAGCGGCGGAGCGGCTTAATCGCACGTTGGTAGAAGCCGTTCGTTCACTACTTCAACACTCCAAGCTTGGGAACGAGTGGTGGGGAGAGGCGAGTGCGCTAGCGGCATGGATTCGTAATCGTGTGCCGACAAAGGTGCTACCGGGAATGACTCCGTTCGAAGCATGGACCGGAACGAAGCCGAACCTATCCCGCCTACGCACCTTTGGGTGCCTTTGCTACTACCATGTACCAGATCCTCTTCGCCACAAGTTGTAACCGAAAGCTCGTGCGGCGATCTTCTTGGGAGTTGCGCCAAACGAGCGTGCATGGCGAGTGTGGGACTTGGGTGAAAAGCGTGTCGTCACGTCTCGGGACGTGGTCTTCGATGAAGACAAGTTCCCGTCGAAGGAGAAACCCACTCAACAACTCACTTTCATCCTTCCGCCACGAGAGGAGGTTGAAGAGAGTGAGACTCCACCTCAAGTGGAGAAGGAAGTCGATGGAGGGGGAGAGAACAACGAGGAGAGCGTTGATGATGTCGTGGAGGTGTCACCTACCGAGGCGGCAACTAACTCCACACCTTCCTCCCTACCATTGGCCTTGACCCGCGAGCGTCGTGAGGTTCGTCCTCCCTCCAAGTACGCCGACTATGCTACGGTAGCCGTTGGGAAGTTGGATAAGGAGGGGGCGGCATTTTGCTTCGCAACCATGGGTGATGATGAACACATGGATCCTCTCATGGAACTACCCCCTAAAGATCCGTCCCGTGCATGCTACGAGCATGTTGGATTGCACACCTAGTGGGTTGGGTGCAAGGGGGTGTTGGAGGTCGCGTGAGTTAGAAGCAAACGGTGGTGGGGCAATTGATATGCCCCCAACCCACCGAATGTGTTTCGGTGCTCACCGCTTGAGTGAGCTGCAGGTTTCACGAAGTGTGTGGGTTGACTTCGGAAGACCCACTCGATTGGTGCCACATGGCAACACAAGAAGAATCGAGACTCAGGGAGAATTCGATTCGGTGAAATCCGAGAGTCGAATTTCACCCCTTCGATGTTACTCGAACATTCGAGTGTACCGCGGTTCGAGGTTACATGTGCGATTCGACGTTTTGCAGTTCATATAAATGTGTTTTCTTTTGTATTGCATGATATACTGAACATTCTGAATCACTTTGTGTGAAGTGCATTCGAACACAAAATCCAGAGAGATTCCTATCCTTCAACATAGAGCATAGTCTTCACGTTTCCAGCTATAGCTCGCTCGTTTCTCAGGCGAACGAAGCAATTGATGGCTCGTTGGAAAGCTAAGACAGAGCTCTATTGATTAGAACAAGTCCTATTTCCTGCAAAGTAGAGGAGAGTCCTTTACAACATTTCTCCCGTTCGGCACGCCCCCTGCGATACCGGCTCCGCCTCCCGCACCCGTCCAAGCTCCCAAGCGTGTGTCTCGTGAACTCACCCAAGCCGAGAAGGCAGAGGAGAAATTTCTGAAGGAGCAGCAGCTATACATCACGCAGTGGCTGCCGAAGTTTGACTGGCTGCTGCTTGACAAGAACGAGGAGGGCCTGCCCATACTGCGATGCAGTATATGCGTGGAGCACAGCAAGGACGACGCAAAATTCGGACGCAACGGAACGGGGGGACGCGATCTGCAGCTCGGATCGATGCGATGTCACGAGCTGAGCGGCCGCCACGACGAATCCATGAAAAGGCAGTGGACGCTCATGGCGGAGATCGAGAAGCAGAAGAGGCTCGATGATTTCGCCAACACCGACAAGGAGGGCGCGCGGCTCACTCGTCTCATCTGCGACCATGACGCCCCGATTGCGACGTTCCCGAAGCTCATAGGGTTCCTCGCGGAAGAGGGAGTCGCAGACATCCCGCTTCAGTCCTATGGCGTGTACATCACACAGTAAGTCTACGTTAGTTGCTGTGTTTTAGTTGCTTGGTTTTCAAATTTGTAGCTGCGCATCCGTCAAATCTTTTACTCTCCCCACTGCTTGTGGCAGTTACGGTTTCAACGAGATGGCGTCGGCGATGGCAAAGTACCAGAGAACTCAGCAGCTGTAGCATCTTCTCGCGTCACCATTCGTAGGCCTTACCTGAGACGAGAGCACCGATCGCGCGCGTGGCAAACACTTGATTGTGTTTGCCACGTTCCTCAAGAACGGCGTCTCCGTCACGGAGTTTCTGGTGCTGCTGACGGTGCATAAGTGCGACGCGTCTTCGATTTTCACCGTGCTCACGAGCCACCTGGACTCGATCGGTGTGGACATCAAGCGGGTTGCCGGCATCGGCACCGACGGTGCTTCTGTGATGACGGGGGATAAGAGTGGACTCGTATGCCGCTTGCAAGAGCGCGTGCCGCATCTCGTCGGATGTCACTGCGTAGCGCATCGGTAAGTGTTGCTTTGTTGTATTTGAAATTAAACGCTGTAGATGCATGTAAACCAATTCTCCGGAGATACTAACCAACCTTGTTGATCTGTTGCAGTGAGGCGCTCGTGGTCAAGGATGCTGCGAAAGCATTCCCAGACCTTCACATGATCGATGCTGCTGTGCGTGCTGTGGGAGAGATCATCTGCCGCTCTAGCATTTGGTACGAGAGGTTCAAGGAGCTGCAACAAGAGATACACCGAACCAACCTCGAACACCAAGGGCTGTTCAACGTCAGATGGCTATCGCGGGGAGACGCTATAGCGAGGCTGTGCAGAGTTTTCGGGGCGGCGATCGTCATGATTGTGGAGTACCGGCACAAGATAGCTGCAACAGCACAAACGTTTAAATTTCATTTCGGTTTGTACTTCCTCGCAGATATTATTGCATAACTGAACGCGCTCAACCGGTTCTTCTAGCACCGCAAGGCAAGTGTGCCCTTAAATGTGTAGAAGATTGTTAGTAATATTTTTAGCAGTTGCTGACATGTTTGACGTGCCCGGTGTTTTACATGTGGACATCACACAGGTCGCAAAAGAAGTCGACCACACGATTACCATCATCACGCACCGGTACATCCAGTACGGCGAGACATTTGGCGGCGGGGTCAGCAAGCTATTGTCCAAGTTCATCAAAGACCATGGAGGTGAAAACAGGACGGTGGTGGTTGAAGGGATTGACGCGGATGGACGGCAGACAACACACAAGTTCGAGTTGAGCGAGACACCCATCAAGAAGCACAAGTTCGGGGGCACGATTGGGGACTGTGAGAAGCTGTGCACGGGTTTCGCGAAGGAGATCGTCGCAAGAATGAAGTACCGCATGTGGGACTTGCAGCAGATGGGCGGCGCGAAGCTGTTTCAGGTTGAATCGTGGCCATCCAGGGAGGACCAGCGCGAGTTGAAGAGCCTCGAGTGGCTGGCGGCAAACGATGAGCTGTTTGGCGGCATGCTTCCAGGTGAGGATAGATTTCTTACGTGCGTCTGATACGGCTCGCACACTGCATGTGACAGTACCACAGTACCAGACAACCAACCCCCTTTAATTCCACCGCCCCAAACCCCATCCACGTCAGGATTCGATTTCAAGGCGGCGAAGAAGGAGCTGAGGAGCTTCTGTCACATCCTGTCACGTCATCACGCGGCGGAAGATTTCCACCAGGGTCTTCAAAGCATGTTGAAGAGCCGGGATTGGCGACGCAGCTATCCGAACCTGATGACACTCTGGCATGCCCTCGCTGTGCTGCCACTGAGCACAGTGGAGTGTGAGAGAGGGTTCATTCGCCAGAACATCATCAAGAGCTGGATGCGCACATCGCTGTGCGATGCACGCCTTGGCGACCTCATGACGCTGCACATGCTCAAGTACCCATACGTCTGGCCAGACGTGGTGGACATCTGGCGCAAGCAGAAAACCCGAAGGCCGGCGAAATCTGTTGCGCATGCGACTCCTGTGGACCAGAAGGGGAAGCAGAAAGTTCCAGAGCCAGAAGAAGAAAGTGACCACGATGAACACCCATGTGGCATGTCTGATGATGATGACTAAAATTTGTATTGAGTGCAACGTTAAAAACTATTAACCAGGGTTTGTCATTTAAGAACACTGATGCGACAGTGTAGATTTTACAAAAACAGCCTAAACCCTGATGCATCAGGGTTTTTACAAGGGGTCACACTGATTATCAGGTTTTTGAACTTGTACTACACTGATAATAAGGGTAGCTCAAATCCAAAATTTAGCCCTGATGGGGAATTCCTTCGCCTGATTCCCAGACAGGTTTAACACTAGCAAAGGCCCTGTTGGGGGCTGTAAGTATCGAAGATTGAGCAAATTAGAGTACCGGTACTCATACCGGTGTGTCTGGCCAAAATGAACCAGCCATCAATAGCTAATCAATGAGACGCCTAAAAAATCAGAGAATCCGCAAATCAGAGTACCATATGTGTGGTCGGCGGTCGCAATGAACAGCAGTCCTCCAGCACTCCCAGCTTGTCCCTTGGACCCACCACCGGCCAACAACACCCCACCTCTGGGGACACACAACACTTTCAATTCAACCAGTTCTGCCATGCCTTGGATTCCACCTGCCTTTAGATTAGACCCAAAAGTCATATCGACTCAAACCCCAGCTCATGCATTGGTCCCACCACCCAACACACCAGCTCACTCCTTACGCCCAACATCCCAGCTCTGGGCAAACGCAACATTTCCAGCCAGTTCTGCCGTGCCTTGGAATCCACCCGCCTTTTGACTCGACTCAGAACATATGTCGTATCGGCCATCAATTGAACGCTCCCAGCTCACCCCTTAGAGCCTCCACTCGGCACCCCAGCCCTGGGCAAACGCAACACCTTCAACCAGTTCTGCCGAGCCTTGGAATCTCCCTGCCCAGCCTCCACTGCGGACCGGGTCCGAGGCACATGCTTCGGCAGACCCAAACCTGCCCCCGAGGCTACCCCGAAATCCGTACCACAATCGTGTGGTGGTACGTCATGTGTCGACTCGACGGCGTTCTCCCCAGCCTCTGTGCCAGGCTTGGAGGGGCTGGAGAGGAGCGGAGAGAGCAGGTGCTTGAAGCGAGAGCGAGACAGGGTCCGGGTCAGCGAGGAGATGAGCGGGCCAGAGCTAAACTTGCTGGGGGCCTTTTGAGTCGACTCTACAGAGACGTCGCGAGACAACGTCCGGGAGAGGGAGGAAATTAGTGGGCCAGAACTGAATTTGCGGGAGGACTTTTGAGTCGACTCAACGGTCACCTCGCGAGACAGGGTCCGGGATAGGGCGGAGAGCGGACCGGAACCCAACTTGCAGGGGGGCTTTTGAGTCGACTCAACAGTCACCTCGTGAGACAGGGACAGCGAGGAGGCGAGCGGGCCAGAACTGAATTTGCGAGGGCTGTGAGAAGGGAGGGTGGATGAGTAGGGTACGGTGAGGGGGAGTGAGGCGTTGGGGGGGAGGGAGGTGGTGGGGGAGAGGGTAGATGCTGCAGGGCCGAAGGATGGACGGGGGGAAATGGATAAGAACGGCAGGCCTGACGGAGAGATGAGGTCTGGGTCAGAAAGAAGAGAGTGCTCCTCTCCCTCTGCCTGCTCCCTCTCCGCATGCTCCCCCGCTGCATGCTCCCCCGCTGCATGCTCCCCCGCCGCATGCTCCCCCGCCGCATGCTCCCCCGCTGCATGCCTCTCCTCGCTTATCACTATCATGTTAACCTCCTCCTCTTCCTGTTCCGAACCTGAGGCTCTCGGATTAGCTAGGTGCTGGGGGACCAAGCTTGCTGCGTCAGGAGAAGCGGTATTAGCAGCATTAGCACCAGCTGCGGCAGCAGCAGCAGATGTAGCCGCAACAGCACCACTATCAGCCTTGCTAGCATGAACCCTCGACATCATGCCAGCACCACGGTCAGTATCATCAGCAGTATTAACAGTATTAGCAGCAGCAGCAGTCGTAGGGACCATGTCACCCCAGACAGCATCAGTACTAGCACTAGCCCTTGCCACCTCTCCACAGGCACCACCACCACCACAACCACTCCAAGCCTCAGCAGCAGGTCCGGCACAAGCCTCGCGAACTCGTTCGGCGAAAGATCCAGCAGAGTCAGTACTGTCTGAGGGAACGATTACCCTTCTCACTCGCACCATTTTGCTGAATTGCACCCGCCGATCCGCCCTCTGCTGCTTCATCCCATTGCCGGCTGCACCTGGTGATGACTGTTGGCTGGTTGGGGATTCTGCGGTGGCTTGGTGATCGTCGGATGGCTCTTGATCCAACGGCTGTAATGATGGTAGGCGCCGGGATGACGACCTGTTACGATTCCAAGCTGCTGCTTCTGCTGATTCTTCGGCTTCAGTTGCTTCTTCTGTCTCTGCTGCTGCTGATTCACACAGCGAGGGATGGGAGGGGGAAACGTGAGAGCAGGGAGGGATAGATATAAAAAAGGAGGGGGTGACTACTCGTGCTGCTGCTGCTACCTATGCTTGTGCTACTGGTGCTGCTATCTGTGCGTGTGCTGCTGGTGCTGCTGTTTGTGCTTGTGCTACTGGTGCTGCCACTTGTGCTCGTGCTACTGGTGTTGCTATTTGACATACCTGAAAAAGCGAAGTCGCTTGTATGATTGGCCGCAGCAGCAGTAGAAGCAACAGCAGCAGCAACAGCAGCAGAAGCAGAAGCAGCCGCAACCGCAGCCGCAGCAGCAGCATCAGCCGCAGCAGCCGCGTCAGCAGCAACAGCAGCATTCGTGTCCAACAACCCAACACCGTTGCTTAAACTGCTCGTGCGCCATGACGTCTTTTGAGGCGCCTCAAAAGCAGCCGCATCAGCAGCAGCAGCAGCAGCATTCGTATCCAACAACCCAACAACGTTGCTTAAACTGCTCGTGTGCCATGACGTCTCCTCGCTTCCCTCCTTTCTCCCCACCTCACTTCCCTCCTCACTTCCTTCCTCACTTCCCAACTCTCTTCCATTCTCTGTCCTCTCCTTTCGTCCCTCCACTCTTCCATCCTCTGTCATCCCCCTTCGTCCCTTCTCTCTCCCCTCCACTCTCCGTTTCTCTCCTCCTTCCTCCCGTCCCTCCCTGCCTGTTCTTTCCCTGACTCCAAGATCCAGTGCCCCAGCTGCAACAGCAGCAGAAACAGAAGTAACACCAGAAGCACCAGCACCAGCAGCACCAGCAGCACCAGCAGCACCAGCAGCACCAGCAGCACCAGCACCAGCAGCAGCCTTATCTTCTACAGTCCCCATACCGCCACTCAAACTCGCTACCCGCGCCATTTCACGAACCCCTTTCGCCCATCCATGCTGCAGTTCCCTCCTTCCCTCACCCTCCCTCTCCCCTCTCTTCCCTCCTCCCACTCCCCCTCCTTCCCCTTCATTACCCCTCATAGGCAGCGCAACAGCAGCCGCCTCTGCTTCTAACGCACTCATACCACCCCCATCACGGTTGCTGGCCATTTCCCGGAAGGATCCCACCAACGCGACCGGCGCTTGCCCTTCATTACCCCTTACAGACAGCGCAACAGCAGCCGCCTCTGCTTCTAACGCCCTCAATCCCCCACTGGTGGCACCACGGCTGTTGCTACTAGTAGTAGAACTTACTACCAGGCGCGGATTCGCCATTTCTCGGAAGGATCCCACCAAAGCGACCGGCGCCTCCCCTTCCAGAACCCCTAGGTCCCATGATCCTTCCGCCTCCGCCGCATCAAATTCTTCCGCCGCCCCCCCCGTCACATCCGCCTCTGCCCTACCACTACTAGCGCTCCTACGAAACGAGTTTCGAGGCGCCTTAAAAACCGGGTCAGATCCTTCCGCCTCAGCCGCATCATATTCTTCCGCCTCCCCCGAAGCGTCCCCGAAACATCCCAAAAATGTCTGTGAGGCAGCGCTAGTAGTACTAGCACTTCTACGAAAGAGGTGGGGTGTGGGGATGGCCTTGGTACTACTACTATCACTCAGCCTCAGAGACTTGGCAGTATCGTTGTTGTTACTGCCAATAACGGCGGAGCTGCGGCTCGCTGTATTAGTACTACTAATAACAGTGCTACTATTAGTGGTAACAGCACTACTTTTAGTACTAGCACCGCCGTTCCGTCTCCTGGCGTGCTTTGAGCTAGTAGTATCAGCTTCGAAATGGCTCAACTGTGACTGCCACTCCGTCTCCTCGGCAGGCTGCTGCTGCCGTGCGGCTCTCTGCCCGCCGCTCCTTCTCCTGCTGAAGGGTTGTGCGTTAGTAGTACTACTAGTGGTGATGCTATCAGCTTCTACCTGACTCCGAGCTGGGTTGAGTTGACTCGGTTGACTCAACTGGACCTGCCACTCCGCTTCCGTCGGCTGCCGTGGTTGCTGGGAGCTGGTGGTATCATCAGCTTCAAATTGGCTCAACTGAAATTGCCACTCCGTCTCCTGCTGCCGTGCTTGCTGCCCTCCGCCTCCCCAGCTGCGGCACCTCCTGTGTGACGCCCGCTGCGGCAGCTCCTGCTGCTGCTGCTGCTGCCGCTGCTGCTGCTGCTGCTGGGAGTGCGGGTTCTGCGCTGTCGCGGCTCGGCGGACAACTATCACAGGCTCATCGCCGCTGGAACATTTTCCTGGCGGCGGCGGAACGCGGCCGCCATCCCACGCGGAACAGTGTTCCCCCCCGCGAGGCGAGCGTGGAAGATTGGGCGGAAGGGCGGACCCCCTGTCGCTCGCATTGCTCTTTCCGCCGCGGCCGCCGCCGCCGCCGCCGCCGGCTAATGATGGCATGATTCGTCCAGACGACCACGCGCTGCCACGGCTTTCCGCTGACCCCGATCGCGGTGTTGCGGCGCCGCCATCGTCCGACAGCCGTCGTGACGGCGGTCCGAGAGGGTCCGCGCCGCGGCGGTTACAGAAAATGCGTGTGAGAGTCGCGAGACGGCCGGGAGACTGCGGCGCGATCGGCGCGGTCTTCGCAAGCGACGAGTCCGAGTCTGAGTCATAGTACGTTGCGGCCGGCAGTGCCGCAGCCAGATCGTCAAGTTGCCATGATTGATAGTTCGTAATATCCGCCGAGTCGGCGGCAGAACCAGCGGGTTTATCATCGCTGTTAGAAGCACCGACTCGGTCAGCCTTGGTAGTAGTAGTAGCTCCCATCGCGCTTCGGAACGAGCGGAAGTCGGAGAAAGATATGTTTCTTGAGTGTCCGCCGCGGCCGCCCTTCCGCCGCCGGCCGCTGGGAGTGACAGGCGACTCGGGCGGCGGAGCGCAATCTTCGAAACTTACCTCCGCCCAAAGCTCCTCCATGTCTACAGACGCGGTCGCCTTATGGCGCACGACCGTCGCGTGCGGGCTGCGCACGGGGGTGAGCGCGGCAGGGCGCCAAGCCGCGGCATCGGCGCTTTCGCCGCCAGCGGCGGAACAGGATTTCGATGAGGGAAACGCAGCGCGGCAGGCGTCATTCCGCCTAACCGCGATTTTTCTGGGGCTGTTCGCTACCGCGGAGTCCAAGGTCTGGGCGCGGCGGGTTTCGCCATGAAAATCCCGCGTAGGTGAGCAGCGGATGCGCGGAGGGGGGAGGGTGAGTGGACGACCCAATCTTGGGGGGTCGTCGGGTGATGATTCGCACGGCGCGAATATGGACGGCGATGTTGATGAGTGTCTTGGACTCCTACTACGTTCCGACGGTGAGCCCATCGGGAGGCTCGTTGAACGAGGCAGCAGGGGATGAGGAAAAGGCGGAATGCTAGGTTTCAGACCTCGGAAGGTAAGTCTGATGTATGCATACGAATTTTAGGTTGGATTGGAATGGATGTCCACTAGCTGCCGCGTCGTGAGACGGTTTCGTGTTGCTCTGTGTCGCCGTGTGGCTGTGCAGCGTGTAGCTGTTTAGCTGTTAGCTGTTTAGCTGTGTAGCTGTGTAGCTGTTAGCTGTCTAGCTGTGTTGCTGTGTATGTTGATGAGCTTGGTGCAGAGGAAGGTACGGTAGGGTAGCTTCCCCAAAACAATCTGACACTTACCCTATTGTTTACCCCTCCATGCTTCTTGATTCCAAAAGTTCTGCAAGTGTTTCGAATCAAATCACGACAAGTAGCATCCTTGATGCGATCCACAACACACCTTTCGTAGTCATGGGTCAGGTGTCTTCAAATCCTTACACCCTATTCTCGATAATTGCACACTCCCCTCTGTTTCAGAGGTACCCTGTACTCTTTCTGGCTTGATGTGACGGACACCCAGAGATTGACGACGGTAGTTTTGATTCCCGCACTTAATTTTCCGAGTGAGTAGTTGGAGGGGAGGGATGCCGTTAAACTCTTGTTTCTTTCTTCCATTCGCCAGTAGGTTGCGAGACTCCCTCCTCCCGATAGATTTTCAAACGCTGCTTGCTACCCTACCTAAACGTATAAACGATAGTATTTACCCCAGGATGTAAGCTTAAAGGGTAGGAAATTATCGAGAATAGGGTGTACTGTGGTGCGAGGGAGGGTCATCCCTTGTTCCAGCACTAAACAGCCTGTCACAAAACAATTGTCTGAATGAACTGTCCGGTCCGGTGTTTCAATTCAGACTTCCACGGTTCCCAGTTGCGGTGACACAACAATAACCCCTAGACTTGTACACCTGATCTGCGGTACATATCGGTACATGTTCCCATCAAGTCTCTTTTATATCTTCAAATAGGAAACAACCCATATCTTCCAGTCCCTAACTATTATTGCAAATGTCTACACCTAGATAGAAGATGTGAAGTTGGGGAATATAAGACTGCTCCTGGACCGTCAACTTCTACAAGTTACCTCGTTTCATCATCAATCTTAATTAACGACATATATCTTACAGATACAGCAGCCATTAGCTACAAATATGTATATATAAAAAAAAAACTTACTCATACCATGTAAAAAAATGCTCAAAATGTTACTGGTGTGATCACTAAGAATGTTGATAAAATACTGATAGTGGAATCGATATTGAATAAATAAATTAGTCTTATACGACCTTCATACTCATACATTGTATAAATTTTCTTAACATCCCCAATTGATCACAACCTTCTGAAAACGATGTCATTATCAGAATGAATACACGTTTTTGTAAGAAATAGCTAACAAAACTCATACTATTTTTATGGGAAATGGGAATGCGAATATGCGCTATCAACAAATAAAGCATATAAACAATCGATTGGGCCACTTTGCTATAGATACGTTCATAAACATCATGACCGGAGAGTCTTAAGTACATGGAAAATATTAGCGAAAATTCTTTGAAGGAGACACAGGACGGTGAAGTGCCAATCAGCATTTTGCAGCTATGCCTAGATGACACACTCACATTCATCTTATCTGATAATAAAATAGCGTCTTTCGACACATGACACAGATTTTATATTGGAGCCCACAAATACATCAAAATGCAAAATTCACTACCAACGCATTTGTAAGCAATAATGATTATGATACCAATTTACAAATATCGACACGCCAATTAACAGCAATGTATCAAATACGGTCCTCGTACGCCACGTACATTTGTTTTGAGATGGTGTGAATATTTGTTTGACCATTGTTTTTTTTTCAAGAGTGCAGTTGGACTCGGTGTTTATTTGTTCATATTTGTTCGTAATTTAGTACGTTTTCTTAGATTTGTTTCTATATATATAATGTGGGTGTTGTGATGGTGTCCTTTGTGTGCATTTGTTTATCAGTCGGTCGCTTTTGTTTCTTGTTGTCCTCTTTACCGAATATGCATCGAGCATCCACACATTCAAGGTGTACGTCAATAGATAATGGGTGTATGCAGATGACGGACGGGGTCTTGTACAGCTGTTGGATGCTTCAAACAGTGAGGAATGCTGGTGTCCTTGGAACAAACAATGGCTCCAAGAAAGGGCAATTCAATCCAGAAATCTAATCGAGCTGGTTAGTTGACGACAGACGCGTGTGGAGAGGTGACAGGCTGGCTGGCTGCCGCAGCGAGGCAGTCGCTCTCGGAACTTATCAGTCACACTGTCACACACCCTCGTCTGTATTTATTACGCTCGTGTCGCCCGTCGCAAATGCGTACGAATCGTCTATAAAATGAATAAACGAATAAAGAATGCAACGTGAAAACACCACAATGGGGAGCGCTCTATAAAACTAATACCGGCTTATTAGTTTAATCAAGGCTTAATAATAGTCTCCGTATGTGTAAGGGCATGGGACCATGAAGTGGTTGTATTCAGGAAGCACAGTCACGCAGAACAGCAGAGAGCTTGGGAGACTACAGCTTGTGTGGTCTGGTTCTCGGAAAAAAAAATACAGCTGTCTGACAGTTGTTTGCGTCGTCCTGCTTGCACAGTTGAGAGACGAAACAAAATCGCTACTATGGCGGGGCAATATCCCAGTAGAAAGAGAAGCAGATGCCCTCAGTAACTGTTTCTCCAACATGCTGATGAAGGAGCAAACACAAGAACAGTGCAGGCTCTAACAAGCCATACTGGTATCATGTCATGTCATGCCATGTCATGCCATGTCGTGCCATGAGTATCACCAGCTCAGGACGTGGAAGCTCCACTGTGACCCACCAACTCTCTGCAAACACCTCAAACTCCCTGTTGAGTTGACTCAATAAACTCATAGTAACCATTGAGGCTCCTTAAGCTGTTGCAAGTAGCCTTGTTATGAGTCGACTCGTTAAGCCTTAGAGGCCCCAGTGGAGCCACCAACCCTCGGCAAGCGCAGCACCCTCACCCATCTCTGCCTTGCCTTGGAATCCACCTGACCAGCTTCCATCGCAGATATGGACCGAGGCACGAGCCTCGACATACCCGGACCTGCGTCCGAACCTACTTCCGAGCCTGCTTCTGGCCCAGGAGGAAGGCTCTGAAGCAGCGATCTTTGCGCCCCCAACTCACACCCTTCGTTCGCAAGCATCCCCTCTTTCTCCAGCCCCTTTTGATACTTCTGAGAAACAACCTCAGCCGCTTGCCTTCCTACCACACCCTCTCTTGCCCCTTCTCCAGTCTCCCCATCCTGATTAAAATGTGCCTCTCTGCTTGAGGCTAAATCCCCTCCTCCGGTTGTTGCAACCATCCGCTTGGATGGGCTAAAGAAGAGGGGAGAGGTGAGATTTCTGAGCCGTGAGCGTGAGAAGGAGCGAGTGAGAGAGGCGAGGAACTTGCGACCGGGAGAGGAGGAGGGGGAGGGGGAAGGGGCTGACGAGGAGGAGGAGTGCGGGAGGGTGGGGGGGGGAGAGTCGATCGGTGCGTCGTGGTCGATAAAAATTGTATCGGATAAAACAGGAAGGGATTTAGTTGCAGGGATGAAGGATGTGAGGGGGGATGCGGATGGGGAGAAGATGGAGAGGAGGAGGGGATTCGTGGGCTCTAAGTCAGCAGCAGCAGCACCAGTGGCAGAAACTGAAACATCCGCTGTAGCAGTAGCAGCAGCAGCAGGCACCGCAGCAGCATCAGCATCAGCATCAACAGAAGAAACTGTAACAGCTTCTGTAGCAGCAGCAGCATCAGTCCCAGGGCGAAATCCAACATTATTGCCAGCAGCACATGACACCGTGTCACAGCCCGAGGCACAAGCAGCAGCGGTAGCGGCAGCACCACCAGCAGCAGCAGCACCACCAGTAGTACCAGCAGCAGCAGCAGCACTATCACAGGCAGGAACACATGGCGCAAGCTTTCCCTCACCAGCCATTCTTCCTACAGCCACCCTCCCATCACCATCATCAGCATCAGCATCAACATCAGCAGGAGCATAATCAGCACAGTCAGCAGCAGCGACAGTAACAGAACCAAAGTCAACATCCGAAACCCCATCACAGCCACTCCAAGCCTCAGCTTCAGGCTCGGAATCAAGCTCGGCACCAAATTCACCATCAGGCTCGGCATCAAACCCCTCATCAGCCCCGGCATCAGGCTCGGTATCAGGTCCGGCAGAGTCACTGCTGGGGCAGGCAACGAGCACGCGTCTCACCCTCACCACGTCACTGAATTGCACGCGCCGCCCCCTACTCTTGCTGCCAGCAGCTTTCCCTGTTCCTGCTGCATCTGCTCCTGATGGGCTCCCGCCTGTGCCAACCAGGGCCTCTGCTGTGCCTGACTGTGTACCTGATGCCTTTGATTCTGTGTCATCCCCTGCTTCTGCTGGAGTCCTGTCAGCAGGTTTCCCCAATACTGCTGCACCTGCTCCTGATGGGCTTTCCCCGGTCTCAACCCTTGTCTCTGCTGTGCCTGATTGTGTACCTGATACCTCTGATTCTGTGCGAACCCCTGCTTCTGCTGCGGTCCCGCCAGCACCTTTCCCTGTTTCTGCTGCATCTGCTCCTGACGGCTTTCCCTCTATGTCAACCCCGGTCTCTGCTGTGTCTGATTCTGCGCCTGACGCGTTTAATTCTGTGCCAAACCCCCCTCCCCCTTTTCCCTGCTGCTGCTGCTGCTGCTGCTGTTGCTCTCTGTTCTGCTCCCCCTGCTCCCCCCCCTGCTCCCCCTGCTGCTCCCCCTGCTTCCCCCCCAGCTCCCCCTGCTGCTCCCCCTGCTTCCCCCCCAGCTCCCCCTGCTGCTCCCCCTGCAGCTGCGCATTGTGTTCCCCGCTCTTCAACACCCCATCACTCGTGCTCCTATGCACGCCTCCCCTTTCCCCCCTCCCCCACATGCCCGGAGCAGGGGGACAACAGGGAGGGGATCCCCGCAGGGAGGGGGAACTGAAAAGCGGGGGAGAGGGGGTGGGCGGAAGGGGAGGGAGGAGCGAGAGGGGAAGCAGGAGGGGAAGCGGAGGGGGGAACGGAGGGAAAGTGGGAGGGAGGGGAAGAAGTGGCGAGGTGGAGGAGAAGAGGCGACTCCGTGGCAGGGGAAGGGAGAGAGAGGAATGCACCGGTGCACCCATCCTGCTGCTCTGATTCCCCGTTGCTGAAAGAAGTGTTTTGAGACGTCTCAGAATCCGTGGCAGGGGAAGGGAGAGAGAGGGCTGCACCGGTGCACCCATCCTGCTGCTCTGATTCCCAGCTGCTGCTTCGGCCTGCATGTTGTTTCTGCTGCTTCTGCTGAGCTTGAGAATTCCCAGAAACGGGTAGCGTGGCAGCATCACTCTCGTGTGCGTCACTCTCGTGTGCGTCACTCTCGTGTGCGTCACTCTCGTTTGCGTCACTCTCGTTTGCGTCACTCTCGTTTGCGTCACTCTCGTTTGCGTCACTCTCGTTTGCGTCACTCTCGTTTGCGTCACTCTCGTTTGCGTCACTCTCGTTTGCGTCACTCTCGTTTGCGTCACTCTCGTTTGCGTCACTCACACAGGGCATGTCTTGCATCCCCTCTGCTGTGCCCTGGCTTTCTTCCCCCACCCTGTAGCCCTCCCCTTCTTTCTCCTTCCCTCCCCCCACCTCCCCCTCCTTGCTCGCCTCTCTCTCTTCTCTCGTTACCTCACGACTCCCACTCTCCTCCCCCACTCGTGGCCCCTCTCCTTCCCCTTTTTCCTCTCTCCCCCGTCTCCCCTCTTCATCCTCTCCCTCCTTCCCCCTCCCCACCTCCTCAATAACCCCAATACCGTGACTCAAACTAGCCATGCGCCACGTATTCCCTCTCCTCTCCTCTCGCCTCTCCTCCCCCTTCTCCTTCGCTCCTCCTTTCCCCTTCCCGCTCCTCTCCACCTCCTCAATAACCCCAATACCATTGCTGAGACTAGCCATGCGCCACGCAGTCTCACTTCCCCCTCCCCCCTCCCTTGCTCCCCCATTCCCCTCCGCCTCCCCGCTCGTCCCCCCGACCCCCATGCCGTAGCTGAGACTGCATCTGCGCCAAGACGCCTCCCCTCGTTCCTCCTCCCCTTCGCCTTCCGCTTCTCCTTCCCCCTCCCCCTGCCCGCTCCTCTCCACCTCCCCAATAACCCCAATGCCGTTACTCAGACTAGCCATGCGCCATGCATTCCCCTCCGCGCTCGTCCCCCCGACCCCCATGCCGTAGCTGAGACTACATCTGCGCCAATGCGCCTCCCCCATCCCCCCCTCTCCTTCCCCCTCCCCTTCCCCCTCCCCCTCCCCCTCCCCCTCCCCCTCCCCCTCCCCCTCCCCCTCCCCCTCCCCCTCCCCCTCCCCCTCCCCCTCCCCCTCCCCGTCACTTTCCCCTTCCCCCTCCCCCTTTCTCCCCCACGCGCTACTCGTTTCCGCTCCCCCCGTGCCGCTGCCCACACTGCATCCAAGCCACGTGCTGTACTCTCCTCCCACCTCCCCCCCCCCCCGCTCCTCCCTCCCCCCTTTCCCCCGCGCCTCTCCCCTCGCCACCCCCCGCGCCTCCCGCCTCTCCTTCTCCCACCCGCGCGCCCGTCTCTATCTCCCCAATACCGTGACTCAGACTCGCTGTTCGCCAAGACGAATCCCCTCTCTCCCTTTCCCCTTCCCCTTCCGCTTCCCCTTCCCCTTCCCCTTCCCCTTCCCCTTCCGCTTCCCCTTCCCCCACCCTATCCCCCGCTCCCGGCAGCGCCACAGCAGCCGCCGCGGCCGCCAAAAGCCCCATCCCGTCGCTCAGGCTCTCATCGTGCCAAGAGTGCGCGATATCGCGGAACGAGCCTACCATATCCACGTCACTCCCCCCATTCCCCCCAGTCCCCCCGTTCGCCCACCTCCCCCCACTCTCCCCAGTCTCAGTCCCCACCCGCGGTTCCCCAAATCTTCCCGCTTCCCCCGCTGCTCCCTCTGCTTCCCCAATCCGTTCCGCTCCGTCCCCCTGCCTGGCGAGTCCCCGCCACCCCGCAAGGCTGCTAGCCGCAGTGCCCCGCGGGCTAGCTTGGCGGAGGCCGCCGCGCGGACCAGACGACGCGCCGCCCTTCCACGCGTTCTCAAGTGCAGCATCCCCTGCCCGCGCTGCCCGCGTTTCCCGCGCTTTCCGCGCTGCCCGCGCTGCCCGCGCTTCCCTCGCTTCCATCGCTTCCCCCGCAACTTCCCCCCCACGTCCCGTTCCGCGCGCCACTCCCGCCCGACCAGCGCCCCGCCCCCGCGGGCTCTGTACCACGCGGAAGACGATGCGCGGACCTGCGTGCGCCGCGCTTCCCCCCTCGCCTCCGCCCTCGTCGTCCGACTCCTCCCCCTCCGTACCTGATTCCGCTCCCCAGTGTTCGCCCTTCTGCGACGACGGCGGCGGCGACTGCTGCGACGACTCCTGCGGTTGCTGCTGCGACGCGCCCGCGCCGCCCTTGACGCGTCGCGTGAAAGGAACGACCATCATTGGTTCTTTCCCGCTCAAACTCTTTCCTGAGGTTCCCGCCGCCGCCGCCGCGCCGGGATTCCGTCTAAAGCTTGCGCTGCGCGCCGCGGCCCGAGGGGATTTCGGCACAGCGCCAGTGTCATTCGCCGCAAGCCGCGCAGAGAGCGGCGCGTGTTTCGTCTCGACAGACGAGCATCGCACGACACCGCCATACAATTCCACGTCATCGCTGGCTGGCGTGTCATTTAGCCCTCGGAAAGACATGGAGGAGAGGGAGACGGGGATGATGGACGGCGCGGCGCCGCTAGACGCGCCGTCCAACGCGGCGGGAGACGTGGAGGTAGGATCTCGGCGGCTGGAGAAAAGACGAGAAAGCGTCGGGCGACGTCTGGGTGCCGGCGCCGCCGCCGTCGCCGCCGCCGCCGCCGCCGCCGCCGCCGCCGTCGCGTCGCTCTGTTGCTGCCCTTTCGAGAGATTACTAGCGTCAACTTCGCCGGGTTTCGCGTCGCCGTCGCGCGGTTTGTCTTTTAGGAACGACCGGAAGTCGGAGAACGAGATGTTCCGCGCGTGCCCTCTCCGCCGCCCCCGCCCTTCCGCTCCATTTCCGCCAGCCCCGCCCGCCGGCGTGGCGCCACCAAATGCGTTGTCCGCATCTTGCGCGGCACCTTCTTCGAGACTAAAGTCTGCCCAAAGCTCCTCCATGTCTATTGACGAGGTAGCCCTATGGCGGATCGCCGTCGCGTGCGGGCTGCGCACGGGGGTGAGCGCGGCAGGGCGCCAAGCGGCGGAAAGAAGCGCGGAGGCGGTGGAACCATCGGGGGAAAACAGCGGGGAGGAGGAGCCGTCGGAGGAGAGATTTGAGGGGGAAAGCACGCGGTCGCTCTCCCTTCCGCTGATAGGTTCCGCCCATCGTACCGCGAGTTGCGGGGATCTGGGGGAGAGTCGGCTATGCCTGGGGCTTTGCGCGGGCGCGGAATCCAAGGTCCGCGTACGGCGTTGCGGGCGGGGCCCGCCGGGGAATTCAATCGGCGCGCAACGGGAGCGTGGAGAGGGGAGAGTTTTTGGCCTGTCCAGAAAGCGAGGGAGGTCGGATGGGGGTATGGAGGGTGATACTATCGGGCTTAGCGAGTCTGCCGCGTTCGAGCCCATGAGGACGTGCTTCTAACGAAGGACAAGCGACGCACTATGTTACGCTAGAGGGGCAAAAGTATATCCCTGGAAGCTATTGAATTGCAGAACATGAAAAGTTCCTGGCAATTCGGCTCGTTGGGTAGAGACTAGCACAGTTCGCTCTGCTGAAGGGAAACCAAGGTTTGGCTTCGCTCATTGAGCAATTTTAAATTGCAGGTACAGTTGTGAAAGAGTTATTCGGTAGGTCCCTCCCTCTCCTCACCAATGACTGGAGTGCGAGAGAAGCGCACGTTCAGCCATATTTCTTGTCAAATGCACAGATTTTATTCAACGGTTCGCTGCGGTTTGTTGCATTTCAAAAAGGTGATTCAGCAAAACTGCACTCGATGCGACAACAATGGAATGAACAGAGTGCCTGAAGTGACGAAAAGCGGCGCTGTACAGACCAGATAGGCAAGTGATAATATAAGATGTGCGTGCTTGTCTCCATGTTCATTGGTCGAACTGTGCGGTTGTCTGTAGACGCAAAGGCCAGGCTAGGGGTGGATTTTAGGAAGACGACAGCAACGTATAAGCTGCTCGGTGCTCCCGTAGCCACGCGAGAAGGTTCACTGAAGCTGAAGAGTGTTAAGGGTTTCGGTGTCTACTGCCCGTACAGTGTGGGACCATTCCGTTCGTACAGTAATTTATGGGACCATTCCATGACTCCATCTGCACACCACGGGCAGAAGGACGGGGAGGCCTGGATATGAAGTCTGGACGGGCACGAAGCACAGCACAGGCTGGTACACACGATGCTCGTTTGACTAACCCAAGGTTGCCTTGCAAAGAGGGCTTTTAAGTGATTCTGATGATTTCGCAAATTTCGTCAACGTCGCACCCAGCAAAAAGGGGCTTATAAAACATTTGTAACTCCCCGTTGACATTTTGACTTCGGTCTCTTCCGTGTGACTTCGGTTTCTGTGGCTCGTATTGGTTCATAACCACTGCAACTTGCTCGAGGAGCTTGTAATGTGGGTGCAACTGGCTGGTAAAAAAAACACGGGTGCAGACTTTCTATTTTAAGAAGGGCAAATTTGCGCGCAGGGGTTGAGCATCTTGTGTACTTTCTGTGCAAAAGTCGCATGCCAGCCCAGTGTGAAGGTGATGCGATGCGACCACAACAGCGGAAGCGAGTCAGTTACTGTACAGTGTACGGACAAGAAATTGCACACTCACACTGAGTCAGGGTTGTCCACCAGCCAACAGCAAACAGTAAAACATTTCCTCGGCTAGAAAAAATCCGGTTGTAGAACACTACGGCACCCACGGTAATCGTGTGCTGTCACATACTTGGAAGTTGATGTACTGTACAAATCAGATTCCTGCATTCCTTGCACAATGACAAGCAAATGCCTTAGCTCCAGCAAGCTGGAATGGTGATTGTAAGGAAATTTCCTTTTCCTTACTTCGCGCCCCTGCTTACCGCGTACAAGACCATTCCCGCCATCGGCACCCAACAGTGAAACCTTACCCGCTCGCGACACTCGCCTCGACTACGACTCCCGACACTGTCCACGATGCGACCCAACCTCACGGTTCGGTTGGTAACCCGCGCTCCGGACCTCCGCCTCGACATTTCCCAACCTCGGCGCTAGGCCCGTAGCGCACCCCATTTTCCCTCGTTACCGTTACCACGCTAGCTTCGCTATATATTCTTCGCTCATGCCTTCGCTCATTGTATTGTTTGCTTCGATAGTGCAATTCTCTCTCGCTCGCTTAATTGCACTCGTAACACTTGGTATTCAGAGCCTACGATCGCTTCTCAGACCGCACCCACACCTTCGCTTCCCCACTATCTCATTTTTTGGAGGGGGTAGACGTCTCTCAGCGTTCAGGCACCGCCGTTCGAAGTGCTCTCTCGAAAGCACGCACGGCCACGACTGAGGCTCTCGCTGAGCTTGCCCGACACCCCCGCCATGGCCGACCTCAATCTCGCGACGTTGACGCAGGAGCAACTCGACCGGATCGTCCGCCAGCTCGAGGATTCGGCGCTCGAAATCGCGACACTCACGGCGGAACGTGACTCCGCCCGCCAGCAATCAACGGTGAATGCACCAGCACCATCACAAGCACATGCAAATGCACCTGCGCAATCTGAGGAGCCGATTATTATTTCGTCCGGCACACCGTCACAACATGACAGCATGGGACAGCGCTCAGGCGCAGCCAGTGATGGCGCCGCCCAATCAATGCCTGGCATGGGGAGGAACAGGGCTGCACCAAGCACGAGCGGGCCTCACGAAGCCCGTCGTCGCGTTGAATTTGCGGCAACAATTGGCAACAACGACATTGTCGCGACGATGCCGCTCAAACCGCAGCGCCCGCCGTGCTTCGACCCGAGCCAACGTGGAGGTCCGACGGTTCAATCGTGGGTCTTCACGATGAACGTTTTTTTCGACGCGAATTACGTCGAGTTGGACGCAGAGAAGATCTGATACGCTGTTTTGCTGCTAAGGGGCCCCGCCATGGACTGGTGGCGAGTCATCGTGACGTCGCCACGCGCCTACGAGCCGCCGTCGCAAGAGGAAGAGCCCACGGGTCCAGCCGTCGCCTGGAGTTCGTTCTGCGAAACCTCCCAGTACAGCACGTGAGCCACCCGTGGCGAAACCTTCGAGGAGGCGAGAGAGAGAGAGGAGAGGAAAGGAGAGAAGTACGAACGATGAGGTGAGAGAGGGATGAGGCGAGGAGGTGAGAGAGGGCTTCGGGCGCGCTTCGAGCCGATCACGGCTTCTATTTCGGCGCGTACTTGGCGACAGCTTGGGTCGGTCCAAGACTACACCAGCGGTTTTCTCGCTCTGTGTGAGCAAGTCGGCTTCATGCACGAGGCGGAGCGGGTGGACCTTTACGTCGGCGGACTGAAGCCGGACATCTCGCACGAGATTATGCTACGCGGGCTATCAAACTTCAACAAAATCCTCGCGCTCGCGGAGAAAATCGACATCCTACGCCGACCGAGACCGGGGTCCTATTACGGACATCGTCCTCGGGGGCCGACCGAGCACGCCACCGTACACGCCGTTGCGGCGAATGCAGCTGCTGCGCCATTTAAGGGGCGCTGCTTTGCTTGCAATGGGCCGGGCCATCGCAAGAACGAATGCCCAGAGGAGCAGAGACGCCGCGGAGCAGAGCAGGGGAGGGAATCTCAGAGGCAGGGAAACGCCAGCAGTCAGTAGAAAACGGGCCAACTACTAACGAGACAACCTGCTCGCCCAACCTCACCGACCCTCACCGAGTCACAGTACCGAATCACACTATCGATCGGGCTCGGATGCACAAGGAGGGTACAGCGACGGATTGCCCAATACTAATCTACGGGAAAATACAGGGGACAGCAGTGAAGATCTTTATAGACGGAGGAGCAAGCCACAGCTTAGTTAATACCGCAACTGCACGGAAGCTGCAACTGACGCTTAGCCGTTGTTTACCGGAGATTGATGCACGCTTAGTTGACGGCACACCACTGGCAATACGGGAAAAAATGGAGAGGGTGAAAGTTCGCTGCGGGGGAAACTTCGGGTTTACACAGAAAATGCTCGCGACGACACTGGATGGGCACGACATTTTACTGGGACGTCATTAGCTGCGACGCTACAATCCGCGAATCGACTGGACGACGGGTAGCTGCACTGTGCGAAGTAATGGTAACTGGGTCGAATTACCTCGCTGGCAGTCACCTGAGTCTTCGACGGTCCACGTCAACGCCATCACAATGAAACGGGCTGACGCCGCTGGAGCTGACGTGTACGCGGTGGATATCGCATTGGTAGGAGAAGCAGAGCAGCTGAGCGATTTTCAGAAACAGCTGGCAGCCGTACCGCCCGAATTACAGGAACTACTGAAACCGTAGCCGGGGATTTTGTCGAAAAAACTGAACGAGAATGAATGAACTAGCAGCAAGATGGGTACAAGTAGCAAACCTTAATTGGGTTGTACCCCATATGGGCTACCCCACTATAGCCTACACAACATGCTGTCACGATAGCGTCTTAACTAGCAAACGGGTTTAACTAAGGGCCTAGGCTAGAAGCCTAGGCCAAGCGGGTGTCGAGAGTAGCTTGCCAAGGGAGAATCGAGAATGGTTGGCTTCACTATAGGTTTGCAAGAACATATAGCAAAGAAACAAAAAAGGTGCACCACCAAACAAGGAATGAAAGAACTACACTACAATAACTACAGCAAGCAGGATAGATATTAAATATAACTTTAACACACCCCCTTAGCCTGCTTGCAGTAATAACTAGTGCAGTCAACACCCCCTGAAGGGGTACACCTGGTGCAGCAGAAGACGGCAGAGGGGTAAGTGGGGAGGAGGAGGCGAGAGAGAGAGAGGAGAGGAAAGGAGAGAAGTACGAACGAGGAGGTGAGAGAGGGATGAGGCGAGGAGTTGAGGGGGAGCCACCCGTGGCGAAACCCTCGTAGTCCCGTGGCGAAACCCTCGGAGTTTCCCGTGGCGAAACTCTCTCACCTCCTCGAAGTCTTACAAAGGGGGGAGGTGAGAGAGTGACAAGGAGAGGAGGTGGGGGGGAGCCAAGCGCGGCGAAACCCCTCTTAGTAACCCCCAAATCCCCACACCCACTCAACCACCCCCCCTTAACCTCACCCCCCATAACAGCCGCCCCCTGGGACCGCACCCCCTTCCCCCCTTTCTTCCTCCACACCCCTGCCCCACCCACGGCAGTCCCTGCAGAATCCGTACCACCACCCCCTCAGCCCCCCCCCCCCTCCCCCCAACGGCAGAAGTGAAAGGGAGTGAGAGGAAGAAGAGGCGGCAGTTCTGCTCCATCTCACGGCGACACTGGCGGGGGTCTCTGCTGGCGGTGGCGCTGCTGGCGGGGTCTCTGCCGGCGGTGGCGCTGCTGGCGGGGTCTCTCTGCTGGCGGTGTAGCTGCTGGCGGGGTCTCTCTGCTGGCGGTGTAGCTGCTGGCGGGGTCTCTCTGCTGGCGGTGTAGCTGCTGGCGGGGTCTCTGCTGGCGGTGTAGCTGCTGGCGGGGTCTCTCTGCTGGCGGTGTAGCTGCTGGCGGGGTCTCTGCTGGCGGTGTAGCTGCTGGCGGGGTCTCTCTGCTGGCGGTGAAGCTGCTGGCGGGGTCTCTCTGCTGGCGGTGAAGCTACTGGCGGGGTCTCTCTGCTGGCGGTGTAGCTGCTGGCGGGGTCTCTCTGCTGGCGGTGAAGCTGCTGGCGGGGTCTCTCTCCTGGCGGTGAAGCTGCTGGCGGGGTCTCTCTGCTGGCGGTGAAGCTGCTGGCGGGGTCTCTCTGCTGGCGGTGGTGCTGCTGGCGGGATCTCTGCTGGCGGTGGGTTCTGCTGGCGGGGACTCTGCTGGCGGGGGTCTCTGCTGGCGGGGTCTCTGCTGGCGGGGTCTCTGCTGGCGGGGTCTCTGCTGGCGGAATCTCTGCTGGCGGGGTCTCTGCTGGCGGGGTCTCTGCTGGCGGTGGCGCTGCTGGCGGTGTCCCTGCTGGCGGGGACTCTGCTGGCGGTGGCGCTGCTGGTGCAGCTGATGGGGCGCGGCGGGTGGGATGAGCTGCAGACGGGCTACAGGCTGGGCGGGATCTGACGGTGTGTGGCGGTCGTCGCTGGTGTGCTGCCGCCACTCCCTTCCCCCTTTCCCTCTCCCCCTCACAGCGTTCCGCCGCCACTCCCTTCCCCCTTTCCCTCTCCCCCCCACAGCGTTCCGCCGCCACTCCCTTCCCCTCCTCCCTCTCCTCCCCACAGCGACCGCCGCTGCACATGCGAACAATCGCGACGGAGGGGGTGACGGGCAGGGGCTGGGGGAAATGCGACGGGCAGAGCGACGGCGGGCGAAGGAGAGGGTGGGGCGACAAAAAACGGGGAGACTGACGGAGTCGCAGGTGCGTGGGCGATGGCGGCTGGCGGTTTGGTGGTCGTTGCTGGCCGTCCGCTGCCACAACCTTCCCTTTTCCCTCTTCCCCCCCACAACAACCGTCGCTGCAAACGCGAGCAGCCGCGACGAGGGGATGAGCGGGAGGCGAGGTGCGTCCGGGCGACGTGCGGCGAGACGACGATCGACGGTGCGACCGCGAACCGTCGAGGCTCGCCATTGCGGCTGCCGTGGCCGTGGCGACGCTCGCGACGGTCGCATTGACGGGCGCGCGACGGGCAGTGCGAGTCACGGCGGTTGCTAAGGGTGGGCCCATTGACTTAGTTCTAGGAACTTAATCGCTCTATACCATGTCACGATAGCGTCTTAACTAGCAAACGGGTTTAACTAAGGACCTAGGCTAGAAGCCTAGGCCAAGCGGGTGTCGAGAGTAGCTTGCCAAGGGAGAATCGAGAATGGTTGGCTTCACTATAGGTTTGCAAGAACATATAGCAAAGAAACAAAGAAGGTGCACCACCAAACAAGGAATGAAAGAACTACACTACAATAACTACAGCAAGCAGGATAGATATTAAATATAACTTTAACACATGCAACATATAAGTTTGACACACCCCCATAGGCAAAGTGGGGGAGAACAAGAGGTCACAAGACCAGTCAAGAAACGCAAAGCAAGCTCAGGGTGGATCACAAAGTCACCACGCACTCTGAGCACAAGCAAATGGCCACAAGGCCAGTTCACTCAGCAACAAGACTAGCGGCGTAGTCGAGACGACAGGCGGCAGCAAAGTCAACAAGCTCAGCAACTAGGGCAGACGCAGCAGTGGACTCAAACGAAGGGTCAGTGACAATAGTGGCTAGAAGACGTGTAAAAGTAGGACTGGCAGCACGAGCAAGGTCTGACGGCGGGTCAGGAACGTCAGGTAGAGAGGACGCAGGAGGAGACGGCAGAGGGACACGCTGTGGAACAGAGGAAGGACGAAGTGCAATCTGGTGCGTGCCTGGGACAGGAGGAGGACGCTGACGTAAAACACGCCGACCAGTGCGAACAGCGCGAACAGGCGACGCAGGACGAGACGCAGCCTCACGACGCTTTGTAAGAAAGTCTGTCTACTCAGTGTAAGGAGAAGGAGCAGGCAGTGGGGAGGCTGGCTGTAAGTGCGGCTGCGACTGGTCAGGCGGTGGACACAGTAAGGGAGGAGTAAGGCCAGTAGAAGGCGGGAGACCAAGAACCTGCTCAAGCAGTGGAACGAAATACGGTCGCGGCCGCACAGTGCCTCCAGAACCAGCACCGACAGCACCACAGCCCCCAGCTTCAGGGTCTCCAGCTCCAACGCCTGCAGTACCACCAGCTCCAGCAGCTCTAGTACCTCCAGTACGAGCACCTCCGGGACCAGCGGCTCCAGCACCTCCAGCAGCTCCAGCTCCAACGCCTCCAGCTCCAACGCCTCCAGCACCTCCAGTAGCTCCAGCTCCAGCGCCTCCAGCTACAGCAGCTCCAGTACCTCCAGTACGAGCACCTCCGGGACCAGCGGCTCCAGCACCTCCTGCAGCTCCAACTCCAGCGCCTCCAGCTCCAACTCCTGTAGCACCTCCAGCTCCAGCAGCTCCAGTACCTCCAGTACGAGCACCTCCGGGACCAGCGGCTCCAGCACCTCCAGCAGCTCCAGCTCCAACGCCTGCAGCACCTCCAGCTCCAGCAGCTCCAGTACCTCCAGTACGAGCACCTCCGGGACCAGCAGCTCCAGTGCCTCCAGCTCCAGGGCCTCCAGCGGCAGGCCCCCCAGCTCCAGCAGTGCCACTCCGAAGGCTCCAGCGCCTAGCAAACCACTCGCGCAGCTGCGGTGGAGAGAGAGGCTCCCGCCGTGACGAGGCACCCGGAGGACCACCAGTAGACAAAGGACCTCCATTCTCAGCACGCTCAGGCTCAGCACCCCCAAGCTAAGCACCCCCAGGCTCCGCACGCTCAGGCTCAGCACCCCCAGGCTCCGCACCCTCAGACTCAGCAACCCCAGGCTCAGCACCCCCAGGCTCCGCACGCTCAGGCTCAGCACCCCCAGGCTCCGCACGCTCAGGCTCAGCACCCCCAGACACAGCACCCCTAGCAGCACCACCCCGAGCAGCACCAGAGTCGACAGCGACCTCGACAGGCTCGACAGGGTCTACCTGAGACACACCTGAGGGAGCAGGACCCTGAGGGGGGAGGGGGTCTACCGAAGGAGGACCTGGTGCGAGGAAGAGCGGCGGGGGGGGGAGAGGGGCAGTGCGGTAAGGGAAGAGTCGGTAAAAGGGAACCGACTCGTCGAACGTGACGTCCTGAGAGGGCAAAAGTTCCAGCCAGGCGCGTCAGGGGGAAAGCCAAGGAAGACGTAGGGAATGGCGCGGGAGGAGAGCTTGTCCGCGGACGTATCGCGGACAAAGGCACGAGAGCCCCAGACCCGGAACACCGACGCATCGCCAACCTCCCCCGTCCAACGCAGTATCGGCGAGGTCTCCGGCAAGGAGACACGGGGCCAGAGGTTGAGCTGATGTGCAGCGTACCAGACCGCAAACGTACACAGAAAATGGGGGGCAGCCGCATGGATCATGGAGGTACGAGCAACCTCCATGACTAAGCCAATGCGGCGCTCAGTAACCCCATTCTGCTGCGGAGAGGCCGGAAGTGTGAACGACTGGGGAATGCCCTCCCCACGACAAAAGTCCCGCAAGAGGTCGGAGGAAAACTCACCACCTCTGTCAGAGTGCAGACGCAGGACTGGAAGGTCCGCGTGGAACCGCTCGCGGAGCTGGAGACGGAAAGCGCGGATCCAAGGGATCAAAACATCAGGGACCTCCCCCTTGCTGCGCAAGGGGAAGACCGTGGTGTAACGCGAGTAGTCGTCAACAACCAGCAGAAAGTAGCGCTCGCGGCCCTGTCCACGGACACGCGCTGGGCCCCACACTTCCATGTGGAGAGTCTGCAGGGGAGCAGTCGTTGGGGGAAACGAGGAGGAGTGAGGAGCGGCACTCTGCCGCCCCTCGACACAGGGAAGGCAGGGAGGGGCAGGCGAGGGTGGGAGGGGAGGCAGAGACCAGGGAAGACCAGAGACAAGGAGACGGGAGTGCATGCCACGGAGGCGCTGCACTGAGGGGTGACCAAGGCGGTGGTGCCACAGGAGCGTCTGGTGCGACAGGGCGCGACACAAGCAGGGGGCCGCTAGCTGACGTGACGAAGACGCAGACGCAGCTACCTGCGGAGGCCTAGTAGTCAGTGTGTACAGACTCGACCCAGGCCGACGGGTGAACGTGGCCAGGTGGCGGCCAGTCCGGGAGCACGTACAGATCGCCACACGCTGTCCTCCTGGAGTAAAGGTGTCAACCCATACATCCTGAAGGACGGCGTTGCTCACCAAGTTCGTAGAGAATGAGGGGAGGTGAAGACCTGACAGTGAGCCAGACGGAACCGCCGGACACGGGAGAACAGTGGAGGAACGTGCAAGGACTAGGCCCCCAGAGGGGTTAGCCAGAGAGACAGCAACAGGTGCAGGGAGCGGTGTGACTGTGGTACTATCGCGAAAGAAACAGCGGGAAGCACCTGAGTCAAGCGTGAAGGTGTGCAAGGCCTCAGCAGGCGCAGTACCAGAGAGAGCAGACTCACTAGCACCTAGAGCAGCAGCCTCTATGCCTGGGTCGGGCGGCACACACACAGGAAACCGTCACCCTCAGCACTAACAGTCAATGCATACATGGCAGCAAGGATAGCATCATAATCAAGAGCAAAGATATCCAAACCCTGCCTAAGCAGCTCTGCCCAGCGGGGAAGCTCAGTCGCGTCGGGAAACTCTGCGCAAAAGGCGTCGGTAAGACGGGAGAAGCAGCGGGACTGTGAGTGACCAACCTTCCCGCATGTCTGACCAGTGCGGTCACCTGTGCGAATGACATACTGGCAGCGAACACTACCTCCAGACGCCCCACGCTGAGCAAAGCACTCACGAAGCTCCTGGGGCGAAGGGGTCTCACTCTGACGCTGTTGCTGCTGCCTCTGACCACCTCCAAAGCTTTCCCTGTGACTGGTACCACCCCGGCCGCCACCACTGCCGCCGCCACCACTCCCACTGCCGCCACCACTGCCACCGCCACTACTCCCACTGCCGCCACCACCGCCGCCACCAACGCCTCCACCCCCACCACCACTCCCTCCGCCACCACCGCCACCTCCACCGCCTCCACCGCCCCCACCACCGCCTCCACCGCCGCCACCCCCACCACCCCTGCCTCTCTTGCCCCTGCCACTGCGGCGCCTCTCAAAAGGAGCAGACGCAACTCCTACCTCCTCAGAACGAAGGTAGTCAACAGCTGCAGCAGAAGCGACTGAGGGGACAAGGGGGGAGGGCGAACACCCCTCAAAGAAGGGAGTGCGAGGAGTGCCACGAGAAGCGCCTACAGCGACTATGCTGGTCTCAGCTGCAAGGAGGTGCTTCTCAAGCAGGTCGACAGTGAGGTCTGTGGGGTCAAGGGCGAGGAGGAGGTCGCTAAGAGAGTCAGGGAGGCGGGTCACGATGAAGTAGAGAGTGATGTACATGGGAGGGGGATTCTTGGCGAGGAACTCGGCGCGAAGCTCGGCGCGGTAGCGAGTGTCACTTGTGCGAAGGTGAGTGACTAGGTCGACAACTGTGGCAAAGGCGGACAGCTCGGGAAACAGGTAGGGCAGTAGAAGGCGGCCTAGAGCAGCAGTGGCCGGGGAGGAGTAATGAGCGACTACAGCGTCGTACAGGGCTCTAGCAGTCTTGTGCTGTCCGAAGTGAGCGCGTTCGGCTAACGGCAGGTGGTTGCGAACGGCTAGGCGAGCAGCAGCGTCACTGGTAAGCCACTGTGAGCGAGTCACACTGTCAGCTGTGGCGGGAGGGGCGAGAGAGGCTCCAGACGTGAGGTCAAACAGCGAAACTCCGTCCCTAGAGTCACTCAGTAGGAAAAGCTGTAAGTCATCGAACCACGCATGGAACTCTATCGGGCGGCCCTCCGGATCGAAGGTGTGGACGCTGAGAGTTGCCATAGTGGGCAGGGCAGGCGGGCGCGCTAGCAGCAGGGCAGCACGCAGGCAGGGCAAGGCAGGGCAGCGGCCAGCAGGGCGGCGCACAGGCAGATCAGGGCAGGGCGGCAGCCAGCAGGGCGGCACGCGGGCAGGGCAGGGCGGCGCGGCGGCGAGCGGCGCTCAGGCAGGGCGGCGCGGCAGCTAGCGGCGCGCGGGCAGGGTAGGGCGGCGCGGCTGCGAGCGGCGCGCTGGCAGGGCAGGGCGGCGCGGCGGCGAGCGGCGCGCAGGCAGGGCGGCGCAGCTGCGGCGAGCGGTGCATGGGCAGGGCGGCGGCGCGGCGGCGGGTTGCGCGAGGGCAGGGCAGGGCGCGTGGCGGCGAGCAGCGCGCGGGCAGGGCGGCGCGGCGGCGAGCGGCGCGCGGGCAGGGCAGGGTGCGCGGCGGCGAGCAGCACGCGGGCAGGGCGGCGGCGCTGCGGCGAGCGGCGCACAGGCAGGGCGGCGGCGGGCAGCGCGCGGGCAGGGCAGGGCGCGCGGCGGCAAGCAGCGCGCGGGCAGGGCGGCGCGGCGGCGAGCGGCGCGCGGGCAGGGCAGGGCGCGCGGCAGCGAGCAGCGCGCGGGCAGGGCGGCGCGGCATGGCAGCGAGCAGTGCGCGGGCAGGGTGGAGCGGCGCGGCGGCGAGCGGCGCGCTGGCAAGGCGTGCGCGGGCAGCGCGACGCAGGGCAGGGCGTGCGCGGGCGGCGCAACGCAAGGCAGGGCATGCGCGGGGCAGCGCGACGCAGGGCAGGGCAGGGCAGTGCGACGCTAACAGGGCGGCGCGACGCGTGGGGTAGCGCGATTCGGTGGGCCCTAAAAAAAACCGGTCCTAGGAGAGGACCTGCTCTGAAACCATGTCGAAATAACTGAACGAGAATGAATGAACTAGCAGCAAGATGGGTACAAGTAGCAAACCCCAATTGGGTTGTACCCCATATGGTCTACCCCACTATAGCATACACAACATGCAACATATAAGTTTGACAAGTTTCCGGACGACTTGCCGGAGGGGTTGCCACCTCAGCGAGCACACGACCACCGCATAGAACTAGAACCGGGGGCACAGCCAACCGTACATCGATAGTTCAGACTGACACAGCCCGAGCTCGTCACCGTTCGCCGCACCGATACTGTTCATACCGAAAGAAGACGGAGGGTTTCGCATGTGTATCGACCACAGAGCACTGAACAGTGTAACAGTCAAATCGCGATACCCCATTCCCCGCGCCGACGAACTGATAGATCAACTGCGAACAGCACGGGTCATTTCGAAAATAGATTTACGGGGAGGTTACCACCAGATTCGAGTCGAACCATAGGACTGCGCCAAGACGGTATTTAGAACTAGGTACGGGTCATTCGAGTATACCGTGATGCCATTCGGGCTGACCAACGCACCGGCGACATTTCAGATGACCATGAGCGAGATGTTTAGGCCGCTCTTAGATAAATGCGTGATAGTTTACCTCGACGACATCCTAGTCTACAGTCGTGATAAGCAGCAGCACTTAGCAGATCTGGAAGCAGTGTTTAAAATTTTAGACGAGCACAGACTAGTGACCAAGGGTTCCAAGTGCGAGTTCTTCCAGGATAGGTTAGATTTTTTTGGGGCACGTTATTTCGGAGGCTGGAGTTGAGATCGGCCCAAAAAAGCTGGACATCGCATCAGCCACATGATCACCCCCGTCACCGCCCACCTCCTCCTCCCTGCTGACTGGTACGTCAGCCCGTCGTTCCACGTCAGCCTGCTTCGCCCATATATCCCATCCACCAGCCAATTGCCTCGCAACCGCCCCGCCAGCATGACACGACCGCCGACAGAGCCAATCATCACGCTCGGAAAAATACTGAGCCACCGAGTACGTGACCCACGGGGAGCCCGCAGGATCGAATTTCTGATCCGCTGGAAAGACCGCACGCCCACCGAAGACAACTGGGTTCCCCTGGAGAGAATTGAGAACCACCCTGTCCTCACTGAGTTTCTGCGCTGCCGAAACTTTCGAGATGTACACCCGCTCTCGTAAGGGAGGCCTCCTTGGGGAGGGGGGTAGTGTAAGGAAAATTCATTTTCCTTACTTCGCGCCCCTGCTTACCGCGTACAAGACCATTCCCGCCCTCGGCACCTAACAGTGAAACGTTACCCGCTCGCGACACTCGCCTCGACTACGACTCCCGCCACTGTCCACGATGCGACCCAACCTCACGGTTCGGTTGGTAACCCGCGCTCCGGACCTCCGCCTCGACATTTCCCAACCTCGGCGCTAGGCCCGTAGCGCACCCCATTTTCCCGCGTGACCGTTACCACGCTAGCTTCGCTATAGATTATTCGCTCATGCCTTCGCACATTGTATTGTTTGCTTCGATAGTGCAATTCTCTCTCGCTCGCTCAATTGCAGTCGTAACAGTGATAAATATTTGTATAATGTGCATGTAGAAGAAACCAGAAGCTCCCTTCTGCATATTTAAGTAGGGGCAACTACCCCTACCCCTCTCACTGGAGCACATTTGGAATTGATTTTTGAGGAGGAATTAGGAAATTCTATGATTCACAAACGGCTCCAATGTTTACAAAAACGTACGTCAGTTGCACAACATAGATGCACCATTTATATCTCGTTGGATCCAATAGTACAAGCAATTCTCACTAGCCCTTTCCATCTAGTAAACAAGCAGTGTGTTTATCAACTCTACAAAGGGTACAAAGCAATGCTGCCCTGGCACAACACGTAGCCCGTTATGGTTGGCCCACGTTTCCAGCCCGCTTCATGAATTTGACATGTCAAGCTTGCCCATCCTCTACATTGACCCACTCATTACTAATAGTGCTTTCTTTTCGAGTGCCAATCTGATTAGTGGTGAGAGTGAACACATTATTTCAGATTAGACAGAGTGAACCGTGAGTGAGAGTGGATCGTCGTGAGACAGTCACCAGCAATGGCGGCCACCTCGGTTTCCCTTAGCTCCACGTCATGCACACGTCACATTGTTTCCTCCCGTGGTGGTCCTCAGAGCGCGTCGTCGCTTCTATCCGTGCCGTCACTCACGCCGCGTGTCTCTTGCGCGACACGACGAGCAGCGCCGCCGGCCTTGCCGCGACTCACGGCGACCGGAGCGCGTGAATGTGCACCACTACGAGCAATGCCTTCAAGGCGTGCGCTCGCGGCGCGAGCTTCTTCGGACGATAGCGGCTCTGCCGAGACTTCGCAGGCCGAAGCTTCGCCGAAGCCCCCGCCAGTAGCGCAACCCGCCACGCCTCCTCCGCAACAAGGTGCGAACTTAGAACGAAGCAGGCTCGGTTCGGCTCGGTTCTTTTCGCATCGGTTCAGTTAGGTTCAATCTGGTTCGGCTCTGTTTGGTCGCCGATCATCCTTGACTTCGTAACGAAGAGTAACGTCTTGAACTGCGCGAGTTTAGGACAGGGTTACATTTCAATATATCATTCGTGATATTCGCCTTTCAAAAGTTAATCCACTGAGGCTGCTTCCGTGGCGGAGCAAACCTCGTCACAATGGGAAGCCTGAGATGTTAACATGCTCTCCCATTCCTCCCTCCCCATCGACAAAAATCTCACAGATGGGCCTTCTCATTACTCCCCGCCTTCCCCCCTCCCCCCATCCCCTCCCCCCCACCTTTTCCCTCGGCCCCCCTCCTCCTCCTCAACACCTGCCAGCCCTAGTTTGTTTTTTGAAATTTCTCAGGAAACAAATACGAGCCAGCCCTTTTTCCCTTGCCTGCCTTCCTCCCTCTCCCTTGCCTTCCCGTTCCCCTTCCCTCCCTCCCATTTTTCCTCCTTCCTGCAGGTTTCCTCCTTCCTGCAGGTTTCCTCCTTCCTGCAGGTTTCCTCCTTCCTGCAGGTTTCCTCCTTCCTGCAGGTTTCCTCCTTCCTGCAGGTTTCCTCCTTCCTGCAGGTTTCCTCCTTCCTGCAGGTTTCCTCCTTCCTGCAGGTTTCCTCCTTCCTGCAGGTTTCCTCCTTCCTGCAGGTTTCCTCCTTCCTGCAGGTTTCCTCCTTCCTGCAGGTTTCCTCCTTCCTGCAGGTTTCCTCCTTCCTGCAGGTTTCCTCCTTCCTGCAGGTTTCCTCCTTCCTGCAGGTTTCCTCCTTCCTGCAGGTTTCCTCCTTCCTGCAGGTTTCCTCCTTCCTGCAGGTTTCCTCCTTCCTGCAGGTTTCCTCCTTCCTGCAGGTTTCCTCCTTCCTGCAGGTTTCCTCCTTCCTGCAGGTTTCCTCCTTCCTGCAGGTTTCCTCCTTCCTGCAGGTTTCCTCCTTCCTGCAGGTTTCCTCCTTCCTGCAGGTTTCCTCCTTCCTGCAGGTTCCTCCTTCCTGCAGGTTTCCTCCTTCCTGCAGGTTTCCTCCTTCCTGCAGGTTTCCTCCTTCCTGCAGGTTTCCTCCTTCCTGCAGGTTTCCTCCTTCCTGCAGGTTTCCTCCTTCCTGCAGGTTTCCTCCTTCCTGCAGGTTTCCTCCTTCCTGCAGGTTTCCTCCTTCCTGCAGGTTTCCTCCTTCCTGCAGGTTTCCTCCTTCCTGCAGGTTTCCTCCTTCCTGCAGGTTTCCTCCTTCCTGCAGGTTTCCTCCTTCCTGCAGGTTTCCTCCTTCCTGCAGGTTTCCTCCTTCCTGCAGGTTTCCTCCTTCCTGCAGGTTTCCTCCTTCCTGCAGGTTTCCTCCTTCCTGCAGGTTTCCTCCTTCCTGCAGGTTTCCTCCTTCCTGCAGGTTTCCTCCTTCCTGCAGGTTTCCTCCTTCCTGCAGGTTTCCTCCTTCCTGCAGGTTTCCTCCTTCCTGCAGGTTTCCTCCTTCCTGCAGGTTTCCTCCTTCCTGCAGGTTTCCTCCTTCCTGCAGGTTTCCTCCTTCCTGCAGGTTTCCTCCTTCCTGCAGGTTTCCTCCTTCCTGCAGGTTTCCTCCTTCCTGCAGGTTTCCTCCTTCCTGCAGGTTTCCTCCTTCCTGCAGGTTTCCTCCTTCCTGCAGGTTTCCTCCTTCCTGCAGGTTTCCTCCTTCCTGCAGGTTTCCTCCTTCCTGCAGGTTTCCTCCTTCCTGCAGGTTTCCTCCTTCCTGCAGGTTTCCTCCTTCCTGCAGGTTTCCTCCTTCCTGCAGGTTTCCTCCTTCCTGCAGGTTTCCTCCTTCCTGCAGGTTTCCTCCTTCCTGCAGGTTTCCTCCTTCCTGCAGGTTTCCTCCTTCCTGCAGGTTTCCTCCTTCCTGCAGGTTTCCTCCTTCCTGCAGGGTTTCCTCCTTCCTGCAGGTTTCCTCCTTCCTGCAGGTTTCCTCCTTCCTGCAGGTTTCCTCCTTCCTGCAGGTTTCCTCCTTCCTGCAGGTTTCCTCCTTCCTGCAGGTTTCCTCCTTCCTGCAGGTTTCCTCCTTCCTGCAGGTTTCCTCCTTCCTGCAGGTTTCCTCCTTCCTGCAGGTTTCCTCCTTCCTGCAGGTTTCCTCCTTCCTGCAGGTTTCCTCCTTCCTGCAGGTTTCCTCCTTCCTGCAGGTTTCCTCCTTCCTGCAGGTTTCCTCCTTCCTGCAGGTTTCCTCCTTCCTGCAGGTTTCCTCCTTCCTGCAGGTTTCCTCCTTCCTGCAGGTTTCCTCCTTCCTGCAGGTTTCCTCCTTCCTGCAGGTTTCCTCCTTCCTGCAGGTTTCCTCCTTCCTGCAGGTTTCCTCCTTCCTGCAGGTTTCCTCCTTCCTGCAGGTTTCCTCCTTCCTGCAGGTTTCCTCCTTCCTGCAGGTTTCCTCCTTCCTGCAGGTTTCCTCCTTCCTGCAGGTTTCCTCCTTCCTGCAGGTTTCCTCCTTCCTGCAGGTTTCCTCCTTCCTGCAGGTTTCCTCCTTCCTGCAGGTTTCCTCCTTCCTGCAGGTTTCCTCCTTCCTGCAGGTTTCCTCCTTCCTGCAGGTTTCCTCCTTCCTGCAGGTTTCCTCCTTCCTGCAGGTTTCCTCCTTCCTGCAGGTTTCCTCCTTCCTGCAGGTTTCCTCCTTCCTGCAGGTTTCCTCCTTCCTGCAGGTTTCCTCCTTCCTGCAGGTTTCCTCCTTCCTGCAGGTTTCCTCCTTCCTGCAGGTTTCCTCCTTCCTGCAGGTTTCCTCCTTCCTGCAGGTTTCCTCCTTCCTGCAGGTTTCCTCCTTCCTGCAGGTTTCCTCCTTCCTGCAGGTTTCCTCCTTCCTGCAGGTTTCCTCCTTCCTGCAGGTTTCCTCCTTCCTGCAGGTTTCCTCCTTCCTGCAGGTTTCCTCCTTCCTGCAGGTTTCCTCCTTCCTGCAGGTTTCCTCCTTCCTGCAGGTTTCCTCCTTCCTGCAGGTTTCCTCCTTCCTGCAGGTTTCCTCCTTCCTGCAGGTTTCCTCCTTCCTGCAGGTTTCCTCCTTCCTGCAGGTTTCCTCCTTCCTGCAGGTTTCCTCCTTCCTGCAGGTTTCCTCCTTCCTGCAGGTTTCCTCCTTCCTGCAGGTTTCCTCTTCCTGCAGGTTTCCTCCTTCCTGCAGGTTTCCTCCTTCCTGCAGGTTTCCTCCTTCCTGCAGGTTTCCTCCTTCCTGCAGGTTTCCTCCTTCCTGCAGGTTTCCTCCTTCCTGCAGGTTTCCTCCTTCCTGCAGGTTTCCTCCTTCCTGCAGGTTTCCTCCTTCCTGCAGGTTTCCTCCTTCCTGCAGGTTTCCTCCTTCCTGCAGGTTTCCTCCTTCCTGCAGGTTTCCTCCTTCCTGCAGGTTTCCTCCTTCCTGCAGGTTTCCTCCTTCCTGCAGGTTTCCTCCTTCCTGCAGGTTTCCTCCTTCCTGCAGGTTTCCTCCTTCCTGCAGGTTTCCTCCTTCCTGCAGGTTTCCTCCTTCCTGCAGGTTTCCTCCTTCCTGCAGGTTTCCTCCTTCCTGCAGGTTTCCTCCTTCCTGCAGGTTTCCTCCTTCCTGCAGGTTTCCTCCTTCCTGCAGGTTTCCTCCTTCCTGCAGGTTTCCTCCTTCCTGCAGGTTTCCTCCTTCCTGCAGGTTTCCTCCTTCCTGCAGGTTTCCTCCTTCCTGCAGGTTTCCTCCTTCCTGCAGGTTTCCTCCTTCCTGCAGGTTTCCTCCTTCCTGCAGGTTTCCTCCTTCCTGCAGGTTTCCTCCTTCCTGCAGGTTTCCTCCTTCCTGCAGGTTTCCTCCTTCCTGCAGGTTTCCTCCTTCCTGCAGGTTTCCTCCTTCCTGCAGGTTTCCTCCTTCCTGCAGGTTTCCTCCTTCCTGCAGGTTTCCTCCTTCCTGCAGGTTTCCTCCTTCCTGCAGGTTTCCTCCTTCCTGCAGGTTTCCTCCTTCCTGCAGGTTTCCTCCTTCCTGCAGGTTTCCTCCTTCCTGCAGGTTTCCTCCTTCCTGCAGGTTTCCTCCTTCCTGCAGGTTTCCTCCTTCCTGCAGGTTTCCTCCTTCCTGCAGGTTTCCTCCTTCCTGCAGGTTTCCTCCTTCCTGCAGGTTTCCTCCTTCCTGCAGGTTTCCTCCTTCCTGCAGGTTTCCTCCTTCCTGCAGGTTTCCTCCTTCCTGCAGGTTTCCTCCTTCCTGCAGGTTTCCTCCTTCCTGCAGGTTTCCTCCTTCCTGCAGGTTTCCTCCTTCCTGCAGGTTTCCTCCTTCCTGCAGGTTTCCTCCTTCCTGCAGGTTTCCTCCTTCCTGCAGGTTTCCTCCTTCCTGCAGGTTTCCTCCTTCCTGCAGGTTTCCTCCTTCCTGCAGGTTTCCTCCTTCCTGCAGGTTTCCCTCCTTCCTGCAGGTTTCCTCCTTCCTGCAGGTTTCCTCCTTCCTGCAGGTTTCCTCCTTCCTGCAGGTTTCCTCCTTCCTGCAGGTTTCCTCCTTCCTGCAGGTTTCCTCCTTCCTGCAGGTTTCCTCCTTCCTGCAGGTTTCCTCCTTCCTGCAGGTTTTCCTCCTTCCTGCAGGTTTCCTCCTTCCTGCAGGTTTCCTCCTTCCTGCAGGTTTCCTCCTTCCTGCAGGTTTCCTCCTTCCTGCAGGTTTCCTCCTTCCTGCAAGGTTCCTCCTTCCTGCAGGTTTCCTCCTTCCTGCAGGTTTCCTCCTTCCTGCAGGTTTCCTCCTTACCTTTGTCCGGCTCCTTTCCCCTCGTGTCCCCATTCCTCCCCTCCCCGCCAGCAGAAATCATGTATGCTCTTAATGGAAGGTGCATTCCTCCAAACCTTAAAGGTGCCTCGAAATGCACTGGAATCCTTTCTGAGAGGCACGAAGGAATGGCGTTCCTACGCAACCATTCCTGTGATTCTCTGCCGTCGTCACGTCACAGCAGCCATCTCTCTCATCCTCTGCACCCATTCCTGATTCACTCTCTTTATTATGCTCTCCTCGGTGCTTCTCTCCCTGAGCAGGCCTGGTGAAGGGCCAGGAGCCATCTCTCTCATCCTCTGTTCTCTAATCATTCCCTTCTCTCCTCAATCAACGTTCCATCTGTGCTTGCTTCCTGAGCAGGCTTGGTGAAGGGCCAGGTGACTGCAGGTGCACACGCAGAGTAGAGCAAAACCCCCCATTTGCTTCGATCCTCCGTTCCCCAATCATGCCCTCCCTGTCTTTCTCAATATTCCATCTGTGCTTGCTCCCTGAGCAGGCTTGGTGAAGGGCCAGGTGACCGCCATTATTTCTGGAGCCTTCTCGCTCATTGTGGCTGCAACCATTCCTTTCATTCTTTTAATTCTTCTCTTTCTCGGTGCTTCTCCCCCTGAGCAGGCTTGGTGAAGGGCCAGGTGACCGCCATTATCACAGGAGCCATCTCTCTCATTGTGACTGCAACCTTTGCTTACTCCCTTCATTCTGCTCTCCTCGGTGCTTTTCTCCCTGAGCAGGCTTGGTGAAGGGCCAGGTGACTGCCATCATCACAGGAGCCATCTCTCTCATTGTGACTGCAACCTTTGCTTACTCCCTTCATTCTGCTCTCCTCTGTGTTTCCTCCCTGAGCAGGCTTGGTGAAGGGCCAGGTGACTGCCATCATCACTGGATCCGTCTCTCTCATTCTCTGCTCCCTAATCATTACCTGCTCTCCTCAATCAACATTCCATCTGTGCTTGTTGCCTGAGCAGGCTTGGTGAAGGGCCAGGTGACTGCCATCATCACTGGATCCGTCTCTCTCATTCTCTGCTCCCTAATCATTACCTGCTCTCCTCAATCAACATTCCATCTGTGCTTGTTGCCTGAGCAGGCTTGGTGAAGGGCCAGGTGACCGCCATTATCACTGGAGCCATCTCTCTCATCCTTGCTATAGGCTACCTCGCTTTGGTGCAGCTGCTCGACTCCAGAGGGCTGCAGATGCTGCCTCCTCCACCTGAAGCCTTCGGCCCCTGAAACATGGTGTACAATAGTATGCATTATAAAGTTGCGTAACATTGGTCCAATCATGTTACCGTATTATTATTTAAAAATACGCGCTGGGAAGTTCTAAATCAGCAATTACTCACTCCGACTTCTGTACACTGAAACTCCTAGTTTACTACCAACAGAGGCTGGTAGGTAGTAGAGTGGTGAGCTAAAGAATCTTGTACCGGTACGTACGGAAAACAGCTACCCCAGTGGCTGAACCCTAAAGGTACCACCAAGTCCTGCAAAGTCACAGTAGCTCTTTGATAATTCAGAACATGGCTACCCCACCCCATGGTCTTATATACTTGAGTGACCCCTCCCACCACCACAGACAGCTGGCATTGCTATGCTACTGCCTGGCCCTCCTCCAATCAGTTGCACTGCTGCAGATGCATTTCAGATGGGCAAAGCGGGTGAGGTGAGGTGACTAGTAACTACCAACCACCAGATCTGGCCCGCTCAGCCTCCCCGCAATAACCCCACACCCACCGCAACACCACGTAGAGATATGATATGATATGACATCCCTTGGGAGCACAGTTGTGGCTTTCGTACGTTCCCAATGGGCTAAAGGGAAGTACCTAGTAGCAGCTTTGCCCCACTCCAGATTGCAGCAGCACCAGACCAGACATGAGCTCTCCTCCGTTGCAGAGCTTCCCCTATAGCAACGGAGACTCTGTTGCAGAGTTAGGGTTGTATCAACCACTCTCCACTCCACCCTCCCATCGTCCACTCTCCATCCTCCACGGCTCTCCTGTTCGCAATCTCCCAGTGAAGGCACTATTACCCATCCTCCCATCCTCCCATCCTCCCATCCTCCCATTCCACACACAAAAAGCATCACATAACCCAGAGTGTGCCCCACGCCTCCTCCACGGCTCTCCTGTGCGAAATCTCCCAGTGAAGTGAAGGCACCTGGATGTTGGGTAGAGCAGGCATCACATCACCCACACTCCTCGCATCCTCCCATCACGCAAAGCCAGCATCACATCACCCATAGTGCGCCCCACGCCTCCTCCACGGCTCTCCTGTGCGCAATCTCCCAGTGAAGAGAAGGCAGGTGACTTTTGAGTCGACTCAACAGTGAAGGCACCTGAATGTTGGGTAGAGCAGGCATCACATCACCCACACTCCTCGCATCCTCCCATCACACACACAGCCAGCAGCGTCTTCACATGACCCACAGAGTGCCCCACGCCTCCTCCACGGCTCTCCTGTGCGAACTCTCCACCGTCCATCCGCCAGCCTTCTGCCCCTTCAAGATTCGAGCCTGTTGCTGCTCCGGAGTCAGGCTCGGTGCCGAGCCTAGGCTGCCATCGGTATGGTGCACAGGCATGGGCTGGAGCATTCCCATTGGTCGAGGGGGGAATGCCCCTCCTGCTGCCATGTCCCCTGCTCCTGCTGCTGCTGCTGTGGCGAAATCAGTTGTCATTTCGAGCTGATCCCTCTCCTGCTGCTCTATCTGCAATGAAGGGAGAGGAAAAGGTGGGGGGAAGAAGGGATGAGGTGAGAGAGGGGAGGGAAGGCTCCACATGCCGCCTGCGCAACACACATGCCGCCTGCGCAACACACATGCTGCCTGCGCAACACACATGCCGCCTGCGCAACACACATGCTCATACTCCCTCATACTCCCCCATCGTCTCTCTTTCGAAACCCCTACCAGTTGGTACACTGACAATTCCCCTGGTTTGGGCGACAGTGCTGCTGCTCTCAGCTGCATACTCCGCATACCCCCCAACCCCCCCATACTCCCCCACACTCCCCAATGCTCCCCCACACTCCCCAATACTCCCCCATACTCTTTCTTCGAAACCCCTACCAGTTGGTACACTGACGATTCCCCCGGTTTGGGCGGCAGTGCTGCTGCTCTCAGCTCGGCTGCTCGCCGCTCTGCCTGGTGTAAGCAGGGGGAGGTATCGGGGGGGAGAGGGGGGGGGGGGCGGTGGAGGCGGTGGGGGGTGGAAGATTGGAGCGGGTAAATGAAGGACCACTCTATACGGAAGGGAGCAACGGATCCACCCGGTATGGGCGGCAGTGCTGCTGCTCTCAGCTCGGCTGCTCAGCGCTCTGCCTGGTGTAAACAGGGGGAGTATCAGGGGAAGGGGACGAAGAGGGGGGGGGTGCAGGTAACGAGCGTGAGCGTGCAGTGGCAGTGGTGCTGCTCTTAGCCTGGTGTGGAGTGGTGCAGGGGGGAAGCCGGAAAGAGAGGGGGTGGGGAGTGGAAGAGTGGAGAGTGGATGGAGACGGGAGAGGGGTGGAGCAGGGAGAGAGGAATCTGCATTTCCCAATAACACGGTGACTTTTAAGTCGACTCAAAAGTCGCCTCGACTCAAAAGTCACCTCGACTCAAAAGTCACCTCGACTCAAAAGTCACCTCGACTCAAAAGTCGCCTCGACTCAAAAGTCACCTCGACTCAAAAGTCACCTGGTGGAGCAGGGAGAGAGGAATCTGCATTTCCCAATAACACCTCTCCCGGGAAAGGGAAGGAAAGGGAAGGAAAGGGAAGGTACCAACCTTCAAGCTCGAGAAAGTCCCAAAACACCTGCACGCAACTGCACCGCTCTCCACGCTGCAGCACCACTCTGCACACCAATCACTCACCCGCTTGGCTCTGGCAGCAGCGATGCTGTCTCGGTTGTTCGCCTCATCCGTCCTCACCACCTCTCTCCATACCACTCCACCTCACCCCTCTCTAAACCGCTGCACCACTCTCCACATCCCGTCAGACAGGCACTCACCCGCTTGGCTCTGGCAGCTGCAATGCTGTCTCGGTTGTTTGCCTCGTACGCCCCCACCTCTCTCTACACCGATGCACCACTCACCACACCCCAGCACCATACCCAGCCCTGCACACTCACCCGCTTGGCCCTGGCAGCAGCAATGCTGTCTCGGTTGTTCGCTTCATACGCCCTCACCTCCGCCTCTGCTTCTGCCGCATCAATCCCCTCCACCAGCCGAAACACTGGGAAGAGGAAGGGGGAGGGGGGGCAGCGAGGGGGGGGAAGTAGAGAAGGCGAGAGGGAAGACGCATTCATGCCTCATTCGTCCCCACCTCTGCTTCTGTTGCCGCCACTTCAATTCCTTCCACCAGCCGAAACACTGGCAAGCAGGGGCGGGAAGGGGGAGTGGGGTTGAGGGAAAAAGGCAGCACGGATCCTCCACGTGCTCCAGACAGTCGCTGCACTCGCGCAGAGAGCAGCGCAGAGAGCAGCACAGAGAGCAGCGCACGCCGCACCTGCCATTCACTCATTAACAACCCCCCCTCACTCCACGCACCTATCTCCTCCACATGCTCCAGACAATTGCTGTACTCGCGCAGAGAGGGGAAATCGTAGTTGCCCAAGGCACCTTCCCCTCACTCCCTCCTCGGTATCCTAGTCACCTACCAGCCACCTCCACGCACCTATCTCCTCCACGTGCTCCAGACAATCGTTGCACTCGCACAGAGAGGGCGAGACGGCCCAGTAACTCAACGCACCTGCCAATCACTCATCCACCCCTCCCCTCCCTCATTGCCCCGCCATTACCACCCTCTCTCCACGCACCTATCTCCTCCACGTGCTCCAGACAATCGTTGCACTCGCGCAGAGACGGGAAATCCTTCCAATTGCCCCACATCCTCTCAGCCCCACATCCTCTCAGCCCCACATCCTCTCAGCCCCACATCCTCTCAGCCCCACATCCTCTCAGCCCCACATCCTCTCAGCCCCACATCCTCTCAGCCCCACATCCTCTCAGCCCCACATCCTCTCAGCCCCACATCCTCTCAGCCCCACATCCTCTCAGCCCCACATCCTCTCAGCCCCACATCCTCTCAGCCCCACATCCTCTCAGCCCCACATCCTCTCAGCCCCACATCCTCTCAGCCCCACATCCTCTCAGCCCCACATCCTCTCAGCCCCACATCCTCTCAGCCCCACATCCTCTCAGCCCCACATCCTCTCAGCCCCACATCCTCTCAGCCCCACATCCTCTCAGCCCCACATCCTCTCAGCCCCACATCCTCTCAGCCCCACATCCTCTCAGCCCCACATCCTCTCAGCCCCACATCCTCTCAGCCCCTCATCCTCTCAGCCCCACATCCTCTCAGCCCCACATCCTCTCAGCCCCACATCCTCTCAGCCCCTCATCCTCTCAGCCCCACATCCTCTCAGCCCCACATCCTCTCAGCCCCACATCCTCTCAGCCCCACATCCTCTCAGCCCCACATCCTCTCAGCCCCACATCCTCTCAGCCCCACATCCTCTCAGCCCCACATCCTCTCAGCCCCACATCCTCTCAGCCCCACATCCTCTCAGCCCCACATCCTCTCAGCCCCACATCCTCACATCCTCTCAGCCCCACATCCTCTCAGCCCCACATCCTCTCAGCCCCACATCCTCTCAGCCCCACATCCTCTCAGCCCCTCATCCTCTCAGCCCCACATCCTCTCAGCCCCACATCCTCTCAGCCCCCACATCCTCTCAGCCCCACGTCCTCTCAGCCCCACATCCTCTCAGCCCCACATCCTCTCAGCCCCACATCCTCTCAGCCCCACATCCTCTCAGCCCCACATCCTCTCAGCCCCACATCCTCTCAGCCCCACATCCTCTCAGCCCCACATCCTCTCAGCCCCACATCCTCTCAGCCCCACATCCTCTCAGCCCCACATCCTCTCAGCCCCACATCCTCTCAGCCCCACATCCTCTCAGCCCCACATCCTCTCAGCCCCACATCCTCTCAGCCCCACATCCTCTCAGCCCCACATCCTCTCAGCCCCACATCCTCTCAGCCCCACATCCTCTCAGCCCCTCATCCTCTCAGCCCCTCATCCTCTCAGCCCCACATCCTCTCAGCCCCACATCCTCTCAGCCCTCATCCTCTCAGCCCCACATCCTCTCAGCCCCACATCCTCTCAGCCCCACATCCTCTCAGCCCCACATCCTCTCAGCCCCACATCCTCTCAGCCCCACATCCTCTCAGCCCCACATCCTCTCAGCCCCACATCCTCTCAGCCCCACATCCTCTCAGCCCCACATCCTCTCAGCCCCTCATCCTCTCAGCCCCTCATCCTCTCAGCCCCACATCCTCTCAGCCCCACATCCTCTCAGCCCCTCATCCTCTCAGCCCCACATCCTCTCAGCCCCACATCCTCTCAGCCCCACATCCTCTCAGCCCCACATCCTCTCAGCCCCACATCCTCTCAGCCCCACATCCTCTCAGCCCCACATCCTCTCAGCCCCTCATCCTCTCAGCCCCACATCCTCTCAGCCCACATCCTCTCAGCCCCACATCCTCTCAGCCCCACATCCTCTCAGCCCCACATCCTCTCAGCCCCACATCCTCTCAGCCCCACATCCTCTCAGCCCCACATCCTCTCAGCCCCACATCCTCTCAGCCCCACATCCTCTCAGCCCCACATCCTCTCAGCCCCACATCCTCTCAGCCCCACATCCTCTCAGCCCCACATCCTCTCAGCCCCACATCCTCTCAGCCCCACATCCTCTCAGCCCCACATCCTCTCAGCCCCACATCCTCTCAGCCCCACATCCTCTCAGCCCCACATCCTCTCAGCCCCACATCCTCTCAGCCCCACATCCTCTCAGCCCCACATCCTCTCAGCCCCACATCCTCTCAGCCCCACATCCTCTCAGCCCCACATCCTCTCAGCCCCACATCCTCTCAGCCCCACATCCTCTCAGCCCCACATCCTCTCAGCCCCACATCCTCTCAGCCCCACATCCTCTCAGCCCCACATCCTCTCAGCCCCACATCCTCTCAGCCCCACATCCTCTCAGCCCCACATCCTCTCAGCCCCACATCCTCTCAGCCCCACATCCTCTCAGCCCCACATCCTCTCAGCCCCACATCCTCTCAGCCCCACATCCTCTCAGCCCCACATCCTCTCAGCCCCACATCCTCTCAGCCCCACATCCTCTCAGCCCCTCATCCTCTCAGCCCCACATCCTCTCAGCCCCACATCCTCTCAGCCCCACATCCTGTCAGCCCCACATCCTCTCAGCCCCACATCCTCTCAGCCCCACATCCTCTCAGCCCCACATCCTCTCAGCCCCACATCCTCTCAGCCCCACATCCTCTCAGCCCCACATCCTCTCAGCCCCTCATCCTCTCAGCCCCACATCCTCTCAGCCCCACATCCTCTCAGCCCCTCATCCTCTCAGCCCCACATCCTCTCAGCCCCACATCCTCTCAGCCCCTCATCCTCTCAGCACCACATCCTCTCAGCCCCACATCCTCTCAGCCCCACATCCTCTCAGCCCCACATCCTCTCAGCCCCACATCCTCTCAGCCCCACATCCTCTCAGCCCCACATCCTCTCAGCCCCACGCGCCTAGCCCTTCCAACCGCACATGCCCCTCCCTCCACGCGCCTAGCCCTTCCAACCGCACATGCCCCTCCCTCCACGCGCCTAGCCCTTCCAACCGCACATGCCCCTCCCTCCACGCGCCTAGCCCTTCCAACCGCACATGCCCCTCCCTCCACGCGCCTAGCCCTTCCAACCGCACATGCCCCTCCCTCCACGCGCCTAGCCCTTCCAACCGCACATGCCCCTCCCTCCACGCGCCTAGCCCTTCCAACCGCACATGCCCCTCCCTCCACGCGCCTAGCCCTTCCAACCGCACATGCCCCTCCCTCCACGCGCCTAGCCCTTCCAACCGCACATGCCCCTCCCTCCACGCGCCTAGCCCTTCCAACCGCACATGCCCCTCCCTTCACGCGCCTAGCCCTTCCAACCGCACATGCCCCTCCCTCCACGCGCCTAGCCCTTCCAACCGCACATGCCCCTCCCTCCACGCGCCTAGCCCTTCCAACCGCACATGCCCCTCCCTCCACGCGCCTAGCCCTTCCAACCGCACATGCCCCTCCCTCCACGCGCCTAGCCCTTCCAACCGCACATGCCCCTCCCTCACCTACATCCTCCACGTGCTCCAGGTAGTCGTTGCACTCACGCAGAGACTAACACACACCCCATACACTCATTAGCCCCTCCTCGCACTCACTCCCTCACTTTCGCACCTATATCCTCCACGTGCTCCAGATAGTCGTTGTATTCGCGCAGAGAAGGGAAATCGTCCTGCAGCTTGTTGTACCTGGTGGATGGGGAGACGAGGAGGGGTAATGAGGAGTGGAGAGGGGTGATGAGGCGTGGATAACGGACAATGAACCTAAGAATTCACAAGAACCTTCGTACCTGCCATCACCACCATCACTCACATGGCGTGAACTCGTTACCGCACAGCCATCTCCTTGCCCAGCGGCCCTCCCGCTGCCATCACCACACTCACACGGCCCTCCATCACAGTGCCTTACCCCCATTACCATCATCATCACTCACATCCCATTCATCATCACTCACACGGCGTGGATTCGTTTCCGCACAGCCATCTCCTTGGCCAACGGCCCTCCCGCTGCGCTCATGCCTGCCGGCTGCTACTGACGGCCGTCGTGCCGAGAGCCGTTAGTGCTGACGGCCCGCTAGTGCCGTCCCGCTGCTCTCACTGCCGCCGGCGGGTGTTGCTGCTAGGAGCGCTGATGATACGGCCTGTAGACGCGACGTTTTGGTGCGGTACGACGAGGTACGACGTGGTACGGCTTTACAGACGTGGAACACAAATGCTGGCTGTGTTTCAAGAACTCGTGGGTGAGTGGGAGAGTCCGTGACTTCCCGGACCAACTTCTGGGCTAAGCCATGAGGTTCATGGCCTCATGGGCTCATGGCCTCATCGCGGCTGCTCCAGTCGATGCGTGCAGCTTTTGAGAATTCTCAAAGCTGAGCTCTCCTTTACCACGAGAAAGAAGACTATTTTTGAGACGTCTAAAAGACAATCTTTAGATGCGTGCAGCTGGATTCTCCTCTACCACGAGAATTCTCAGTAAGTCTCAAGATTCCTTTCAGTGCATTCGATTCGCGATCTCGGTTCGCTGCTTCGCTTCAATAACTCGTCACCAGCCTCTCGGCGTGGATTCCACGTCTAGGCCCTGGTAGGCCCTGGTAGGTAGGCCTCTCTTGAGACCGTGCTTCCGTTCGTCAGCCACCAGAGTTACAGCGTCGAGAGCGGAAAAACAAATTGCGAGCGGGCGAGAGTGGAGAGAATTTGCATAGTTGTACAGGGATAACCAGCTGTACGCGTTTCCAAATCCCTCGCTTCAGGGTTTGTGTTTCTCCAACGCATCTTAGAAACCTGGCATAAATGCTAATTTGCTTTCAGAAGTAGCTCAGAGTAGCGCTGGGATTCAAAGAAACGTAGGAGGCCAAATCACTAGTACAGAAAAATATACTTTGTTATGTGCGAATTATGTTTGTCAAACCTGTCTTTACAGCCGGCCGGCCAGTCTTGTCCCATCCAAACTGAGTTACCAAGCCAAAGAGACATGTTACCCTACCTACCCCATATCCACGATTCCATTTCAACAACACCGTACGCCAAATCCCATCGCCCAGCCATGACCTCCAGATCCTACTCTCACTAAAAACCTCCACCCAGCATCCAGCCCCTTCCCTTGCCATAAACACCCCCCCAGACTCCTCCCTCCCACCACTTCCTCCGTTCCTTCTTCTCTCCCATGCACCAGCAGCACCACTCTACCGCCATCCACCAAACATACCAATCAAATAACACCTCCTCCTTTTCCACCCTCATCCCTCTCCGCCCAAGGCGCAGCTCTGGAACCAAAGCTCTAGCGACAGTGCATGTGGTGTACCGTGTAAGCCTCCACTTGACATCTCCACCCTTGTCCTGTCATCTTGGCACCACTATCAGCGCGCCACCTTCCTCCTCTTTTCCCCTTTTCACCAACTCATCCCCTCTTCCCCTCCTCCCCTCCTCCCCTCCCCCCCTCTTCCCCTGCTCCCCGCCTCTCCTCCTCCGCTCTTCCCCCGAGTCCCTGCACCCTTGCTTCGCATTGGCATGGCACTTTTCCCCCATTGGCCACTAAGTGCACCACCCTTGCTCCTCCCCGCTTTTAACCCCTCTCCTCCCCGTCCGTCCCCCCTAAACCCCGAACCTGAACCCCCCAACCCTGTCATCACCTCTCCCCCCTTTTCCCTGCACTCCCTCCCCCTTTCCCTCCGCTCTCCACCTCCCGCGCATCAGTATCGCCCCTCCTGGGGGAACGGCAGCGGAACCTCCTCCGCATTGGCGTAGAACTCCTCTAGGCGGTAATAATCGCGCTCCTTAGGAGTAAAAAGATGCACTACCACATCGCCATAGTCTAGTAGCGTCCACGCGCTTCCCCCGCGGGCGCTCCCGCCGCTCCCCCTATCCCCGCCCTTCTGCTCGCGCGCGAACCGTGGCGACTCCGCCACGTCGCGCATGCGCTTCGCTATAGCGTCCATCTGCGCGCGCGAGAAGGCCGTCGCTATAACGAAGTACTGCGTCCAGTACACGAGCGGCCGCACGTCCAGCGCGATAATATCACCCCCTTTAGCGTCACTCGCGGCGACAGCCAGCGCGACCGCGAACGCCTCGCTCGCCTCGTCCGAATCCGGCGGGAAACGCGGCGCGGCGGACGATGCTTCTTCCGCGGCTCGTGACGCAGCAACTGCGCTGCTGACGGCAACAACCCCGTTAATACCACCCTCGCTACCATCATTCTGCTCATCTTCATCCCCGGTATCATCCTCTTCTCTTACAAGCTTGTACCCAGCGCTGCTGCCGCTCGTATCCTCTTTAAGAGTCTTCCCATATTTATCGAAGAGCTCGTCTAGTTCCTCCTCGTCCCACTCCTCGTCCGACCATGCGCGCTTTCCCCCTGTCTCTCCGCTTCCGCTTCCGCTTCCGCTTCCGCCCTTCTCCAGCTCCGCCGCCAGGAGCTCTTCTTCCGCCAGCATGGCGGCTAGCAGCTCCTCGTCTATCTCCTCATCCTCGCTATAGGCCTCCTCTTCCTCGCTGTAAGCCTCCTCGTCCTCTGTGTACACGTCCGCCGCGGCCTTCTTAGATGAATCTTTTCCGCTGGCAGGGTTTCTGCTTCCCCCATTCCCGGCGGAAATAGCGGATGATCCGCGTGTCCCCGCTGTCCTACCGGAGAACGATCTTAAACCCTGGAATGGGTGGGATTTGGGGTTTGAGATGGATCCTTGGCGCTGCGACACCCGGCAGACTTGACACGTGGGAAGGCTTCTTCGCCGAGCGCTTCGCGAGCGTTGCGAAGGCGGAAACGATGTCGCGAATGTCGTCGGGGCGGCGATTCTGAGCGCGGTGGACGGCAGCGCGGCTGCCATTGAATCGATCCGGTACCGCCAGCAACAGCAGGTCAGAGCGGGGGAAGCAGCTCAGAAGTTTCTTTCCAGAGTCTGGGAAAGGATCGGCGCGAATGTGACGTGGTTGTACGTAGCGCGGACAGAGAGAACGAGAGAGACTCGGAGAGTAGCTTGCTATATGATACGTCACAGCGTCAGGTGATGGATCAAGCAAGCGAGGTTGAGGAAAGCTTGACTTGTTGATTGACAAGGAACGAAAGAAATATATCTTCGCTCGAAACTGTTCGAAGGTTCGAAAGGGTTGAAAGCGGTACCGACTCTGTAATCACATGCATTGATTCGGACCCGAGCTCCACGTCTGCTCGTCGCATGTTTGGACTCGAATCGGTTACTGGAATTATCTAGAATCGGCGTCTTCGCAAAGGTTCTTTTCCAACTTCGCGAAGCAAGTTGCTGACTGGCGAGTTCGAGTCCTGGTTACGAGTACGTTACAATCCGTTCGACTTCGATCGTAGTTGTTCAAGTATCATTTTCAAAAATACATTCTAGCAATTCACAGCGGTGAAGAGATCACACTCTTTTAAACCGTACGCAAACGTACTCAACCGTTTGTCCACCATTTTCCCTTATCACTGGAGCCTCCTGCTGGTCATTGTCTCCGGAATTGCTTCCTCCTCACCTTCCAGAAATAGCTTCACGAAGAGTTTCCTCACCAGCTTAGCTACATCGTTCTTACAAGACCGCAGAGCAAGTGCTCCCGCTCCTCATGCCTCTTGTCCCGGTCGTCTGCGGATTGAATTGCAGGAAATTTTAGGACCGGAGCTGCGGCGGGAGCAAGTGAATCGCGACCTATTTGCGGTACCTGAAACTTGCGACAGTTGCCTAAGCGTAGCTACTAGAGCAAAACAACCCATTTGATCTTCGACCATGTGGGGCTGACACGTACCAGGCCTCGGGCTTTTCAGACTGTAATGCTTTTCTTGACGATGCCTGAAATTGAGGAGTGTGTCCGAAAGCCTTGATTTGGACGCCATTAGAGTTGAATAATCACGTACTGCTGCAGTTTTTTTCTGGCCCAAGTTTTCTTACTATCAGAACGACGAACCCTACTCGCATTGGGTCGTAATCTAACTCGAACGATGAGCAAGGCAGGAGGAGGCGGAGCGGGATCCGCGCTAGGTCGAGCGGCCATGGGTTCCGCAGCGGCCGGCCTGGCCGTGCAGCGACAGCGAGCCTTGCAGCAGCGCGTGGACGCTGACGTCATCAGCATGGTGGAGAATTTCACCAACATGATCAAAGCGGCCAAGGCAGGCTCATCCTCCTTTTTCCACACGTTCTTCAAACCGGGTGTCTAAACAATTGATTTGTTAAACTTTAGTGGGACATGGGTTTTTTTTTTTTTTTTTTTTTTTGGAACTGTCTTTGAGGCGTTCAGAGCTGTCTAGAGAGCGGAATTTAGGGCCGATTTTATATTCTTGAGGTCAACCCTCCTAGTCGCCCCAATGACTCTTCCCTAAATAGCTGCTTCTGATCCCGCCACCTCTCCTCGCCCCTATCTTCTTCCCTCCCCCGGCCTCCTTTTCCTCACTCCTCCTCCCACCGGTACCCCCCTTTCCACCTCTATCGTCCTCCCTGCCCCGCTCTCCCCCGTGCACCTCGTTTGTCTCCCCCTCAGATCAACGATCCTGTTCGCAACGCCCAAGAGGCGTACCAGATTGAAGTGCACTCCGCCAAGCTAGTGGGTGATAGTGGTGATGGGTGGTGGTGATGGGTGGTGATGGGTGGTGATGATGGGTGGTGATGGGTGGTGATGGGTGGTGATGGGGGTGATGATGGTGATGATGATGGATTGTATGGTGGTCGTGATTAGGGGCATGCTGATGTGGGTATGGTACTGCTGTATTGGCTTTGGCACTTAATTGTTTTCCTTTCTGCCTTGGAATTCTCTCTTCTGTCTCACTATTTTTCCATCGTTGCGGTGAATGCTTAGCTTCCCTCATTGATAGAAAGCTTTGACATTTCTATTTCTCTTGATTGCATTGTTTGTTCCTGCTGACAGGTGGCAAAATAACAACTAGTGGCGCAACAGATTGTGTGTCCGCATATTAATTGGCAGATATGTCTGCGACGAATGTGAAGGTTCACTCACATGCCTTTCCCGTTGCTGTTTTGTGTGGCAGGTGGGAGCGGCGGAGTCTCTCCTAAAGCTAGTGGCGCAGTTGAAGCAGACAGTTGTGTTTGCGGATATGTCTGCATTGAATGCAAGTGTGGAAAAGCACAAAGAAGATTTCAAGGAAGAGGCTAGTGTGGCCAATGAGGTGGTTGCATGTGTTGGGGAAAAGGCTGCCTCATTATTGCATGAACTCGAAAATGTGTATTACACATCCAAGCTAAAATAAATTCTCAAGCTTCGTTTATCCCATGCATTACCATGTTTGGAGACGAAAGCGTGTCATTTCAACCCTGAGAAGGGTACCGCATTCTAGCTGAACTTTTACAACTAGGTTAGCATGGATTGAATAATAAATTATGCGGTTCCTTGCCGTATCAGTACAGTAGTGTCAGCGGTGATCTCTTGTCGAGTACTCATGGTGTAGCAGCGCCCAATATTTATTTCCCTCGGTCCTGCTGTGAGGCCATGAATCCGTCTCCCTCGTCCCACTTTCGCAGACGGCTTCGCGCAAGCACGTTGTACAGCAGCTTCACTTCACACGGCGAAACCGAAGCTGACCCAAAGACAAGAAAACACCACCACTGCACTTCTGCACCAGCCCTCAAATCCCACTCCTTCCTCTCCAGGAATTCGATTTCTTGGGAATAACGCCGTTTCCCGAGTCGCCGGTTGAAGCAACCAACAGCTGAGCCCTTACCTTACGCTAGAGCGCTAGCTGCGTCGCTCAACCTCTTCGGTCGCTCCCTCGTCGCCTCGCTCGTGATTGTCGCGACGCCACTTGTCGCATTCTCACGCGTTGCACAGGATGGCCGCCGAACCGCTCGTAGCGCCGGCTCCTCCTCTCCTGCCGTTCGAATGCAGTACTGTTACTCCTAATACTGCGTCTATTTATACCGTGGCTATAAGTAATGAGATATTTAGCTTCACTATCGCCGTGTTTCTCATCACCCTAGCCGCGCTGTTGTGCTACTGCGTCTACATCATTCTCATCAAGCCGCTGCGATTTCGGCAGCATTGCACGAAGCAAGGCATTCCCCTACTCCCGTTCAGGTATTGTGTAACACTCTACAAACACGACCACAGCACAGCGCGAGGCATTCCCTACTCCGTCAGGTACTACTCGCGTTCAGCTCAAGGCGCGGTCGTCACTCTTCCTTCCGTCTCCGCGCTCCCATCGGCCAACACTCCGCGTGTCTCCGTTTCACAGAGTGTCTGGTACCTGTATCATCACGCTATGCTTTTCTCGCTCTGGCGTCTCAAATAGAGACATGCAGCCTTTTTTTGAAAAAAAACTAACTAGCGTTCCCATCCTCCACGCGTGTTACCCAAACTACCCTTCGCGCATACCCCTCAAGTAGAGGGTTCTTTGCAACATTAGCAGTGATTTTACAGGTGATAACCACCGCCGCCAATCCCTCCTGGGCCAGCTGCCAAATATATTGAGGAGTCTCATGAAACACCCTCCAACAATACGAAAAAAGTCTCACGAAAGACCCTTCAAATATACTGAGTCTCATGAAACACCCTCCAGATATACTGGTTGCGAGCAGTCTTGGTTGTCCTATTGTCTACCTTCTTTTCCTCCTTCTCTTTCACATGCATTCCTCTCCCTTGCCCTCCCTTCCTCTCTCCCCCTCTTCCCCCTCCCTCTCTCAGACCTCTGATCGATCGGGTAGCTTCCAAAATTCGCCAATCGCACAACTTTTGAGTCGACTCAAAAGTCACCCCGTCCTCCCCGTTCCCTTTTCAACCTTCCTGCCCCTTCTTCTCCTCTCCCTCCCCATTCCCTCTCAGACCCCTCATTGGGCAGCTTCTGGAATTCGCCAATCGCAAGTTTTGAGTCGACTCTAAACTCACTCCGTCCTCCTTCTTCCCCCCTTCCTGCCCCTTCATCTCCTCCCCCTCCCTCCCCATTCCCCATTCCCTCTCAGACCCCTCATTGGGCAGCTTCCGGAATTCGCCAATCGCGAGCCGAAGCCCATACCTGCGTCCGAGCCTGCGCCTCTAGGTCCGGCAACCATCAGCCCGCTGCTATGGAAGTGGAGGTGTCAACTAGGGACGGTCTTTGGCCTCTCCATCGGCCCTTTCCAGCCACTCGTCGTTGCCGAGCCTGATCTCTTTCACCAGGCACGTGGCGTGGAAAAAAGAAACACCTTATCCATCAACTTCCTCCATACGTTTGTCGCCCTCAGATTTCTGAGATGAGAATCCACTAGATTGTATTGTATTGTATTGCTGCCTCAGAACGCCAGGCGCGTAGTGAGCCTCCTAGGTGACTTTTGAGTCGACTCAAAAGCCATACGTTTGTCGCCCTCAGATTGATGAGATAAGAATCCACTAGATTGTATTGCTGCCTCAGAACGCCAGGCGCGTACTGAGCTAGTTTTGAGATGAGATAAGAATCCACTAGATTGTATTGCTGCCTCAGAACGCCAGGCGCGTACTGAGCTAGTTTTGAGATGAGATGAGAATCCACTGGATTGTATTGCTGCCTCAGAACGCCAGGCGCGTACTGAGCTAGTTTTGAGATGAGATAAGAATCCACTAGATTGTATTGCTGCCTCAGAACGCCAGGCGCGTACTGAGCTAGTTTTGAGATGAGATAAGAATCCACTAGATTGTATTGCTGCCTCAGAACGCCAGGCGCGTACTGAGCTAGTTTTGAGATGAGATGAGAATCCACTGGATTGTATTGCTGCCTCAGAACGCCAGGTGCGTACTGAGCTAGTTTTGAGATGAGATGAGAATCCACTGGATTGTATTGCTGCCTCAGAACGCCAGGCGCGTACTGAGCTAGTTTTGAGGCGCCTCAAAACTCGCCCTCAGATTGCTGAGATGAGATGAGATG